GTGTATTAAAAAGTGTCCATAGAAAACCGTTAAATAAGGGTGGCGCCACTATAGCTACGGGCTAAATTTTAAATAACGTGCCGAAAAATATTAGTGGGATAGACGACTTTTTCGAGGTTATATTTACTAAACAAAATTATTTTAGATTTTAGAGCTACTGAGCAGTTTAGCAGAACACTTCAAACCGTCGACAACTGCTAAGTTCATTTCATCCCAGAAGCTGCAGCGCTGTTGTGGAGAGTTTTTGAACTGTTATTTACCGCTTACAGATGGACACTTTTTCAACTATTCTACTATGGGAGTTGGTCCTTACTTCTACACTCCATAGTTTTAACCTTATCGCGTGTCACTAACTGACTTTGTACCAAATATTTGGCATAAAGCATAATTAATTCCATCAGGTCTCGATGTTTATCTATATACAATTAATTTATACTTCATATACATAGGGACGTCAAACGCCTTTTACGATACTGAAGAAATGTCCAAATAAGGTATTTTCTTTAGTAAAACCAAATTCGTTTTACTTTAATACAGACAGGAATTTCTAGTTAGACTAAATAAAACAAACGGATACACATTACATTTATTTTTAATTTCAATTATTGGACTATACATGCAATTACAATGATATTACGGTTAATTTAATATGTAGTATAAACTATTACAATATATATATATGTATAATTAATCCCGCGTAGAAAATGAATACGATTTATGTTATCATCTGGCTGCAATATGGCACCTAGAGGAATAAAAACGGAAAGCGATAAATAAAATTTCCGGTCTCGCTCATTAGTTCATTAGTCAAGCAATAGGGCTGACAACTTGATAAATAAATCACCGCTTTAGAGAAAATAAAGTCTTTTTCGTTGGCTCTTAGAGTCATTTTAGGCCAATCCTCGCTGATCAATGCTTCAAAAATGGTCAATAACTTTTTAATACAAGTGCCGAATCAACAAATATAGATAGTAGCTAGATTTTTTATTTCTCTCGTAACGCCACAATTGCAGCTAAAATTCTTTCCAATTACAAAACTTCAATTAGTGCATTGACAATCCATTATTATGTCATAATAACTTACTTATAGATTGATTATTCATGTACTTTATAACATAGATAGACGAATTAATATATCTTAACCCTAAACATTGAAAACCATGTCGGTAAATGTACCAAGAGAAGAGGGAACAGTGCTGCCAAATTTTTAGCATTATTATATTTTTTTAAATAATGTGTTTCAACTATAAGTTAACATACAACTTGATATAATGGAAACTACGATAAAACATTAAATATTTAAGCTACAATCAGACGACATACAATGTAATTGAGCTACGTGATTGTATATTTAGACACTTAATACTTTTTTAATTTTTAACATTATATTACCCTAAAATAAAGTGTGATAAAATAGGAATAGGAAACTCATTACTACTGTTGTGTGTTACGTTAAGTGAGGTATTTAATAAAATTTTGAAAATAAATATTATGGTTTATACAAAAAACGTAATGAATTTAAAATTTAATGTAATTTTATTTCAATTCAAATAGAAATGTATGACAAAAACAATTTAACAGCGAAAAAAGTCCAAAATGGTTATTTAGCTACACTGTTCCTCTTACAAAAAATCCAATAAAATACAATTCGTTCAAAATTCTGACACACCCTTTACCAAAAGCACAACCTTTACCGTGTCTGCATTTTAACAAGTTCTGTTCCTCTATAAATAAATGTTAAAGAATTTGAAATAAACCCATTTAGTATTATGTTACATACCTCCTATAATGTAACGTTTAAAATGCATTTAAAGTATAACCGAAAACGCTTTCACATACATACGCACAATCACATACATACACACAATCATGTAATCATGTATTCACACATAAAAACTTATATCTCAATATGTACAATCTTTAATCGTCTTCACCAATGGCAATACTTGGCCAAACAAAATAGGGATTTTTTTAAATATAATAGCCATGAGTCGATTTAACCACCTAGAAAGACAGTTCACTTTGATTTATACAAAAAAAAGTATTAAAATCACACGTCTACAATAACAACAAAGCTACCCAACTTTTAAGGAATGGCCAGCAGGGGACCAACGCAAACAGAGGACAGCTATATGTTGTATAACGGCATGCGATATATCTCTGGACTCATCATGAAGTTACATCCAAAAAAAGTAAGACCTCATATTTATATAATTTTAAATTTATTTGAGCACTTCACATTGTAACTAAACTAAAATATTGAATGAAACTATTATTTACAAAATGCATCGTTTAACTTTTATGATTTTATATTTGATAATAATTAAAAAAATTTGGTAATTGATATTTGATTTTAATGATATTACTTAACTCGAGTTATTGAGCATAATTCATAAAATGTATTCCAAACACTGGCTAATTTTTATATCTAAATGTTTGTAAGTTTACTTTGAAGCATGATTGGTTTTGTAAATGTAAATAAAATTTTGTAATATAAGTAAATCTATGTAATTCTTTATTGGGAAATTTAGGCTTAAATAAATAAATAAAAAAAATCACAGTAATCAAAGTAAAGGTAAGGAGGACTATCTCTATGTATGAAAGTGTTCGTCGAAATGCGTTAAATTAGGGTGGCGTTACCTGTTGTAGAGCAGCAGCGTAAATTTTAAATGTATATTAGATTAATTTAAATTTTCAAATTAACTAGTTCAACAAAAATAAAATAATAAAAAATAAATTTCATATCATAAACATTTCATATCATTTCATTTCACAAAAACATTTGAATATATTTTTATTGGTATAAAAATATTAAAGTCTTGTAAAATATTTTTTTTATAACTCAGAACACTTCAATCCATCTACAACTGATACATTCATACCATAGACTGTGCCATTATACGCTAACGCCATTCTGTAAGGTTTTTGAACGGTTATTTACAGCTGGACACTTTTTCCGTCTTGTCTCCCATATGAGATAGTCCTTAAATTATTCCCTCCATAATCTGGCAGCATAATAACAATAAAATTAAAACGAAAAATATTTATTTTTATGTCAATTGGTCATTTGAATTGATTTTGATATATCTATAATAATAATATAATAATAAATAATAATATATTTTCTGAGTTTTATTTTTTATTATTATTGTTATTCTTTATTTCAGATTTTTTTAATTTATTTTACATTAAAATTTTATTATTGTTAATAGTTTTATTATTGTATAAGTTAAAAATTTGTAAATACTTTAGACCATAACATAACAGTAATTACCTCATTTCTTTTACTACATTCAATATAAGGTAAAGGGTAGTGTCAGATTTATCCAGCCTATGTATTTTTCTTATTTAGATAGGTGGAAAGGTTGGGTCACAATTGATAGTCAACAACTTCTTGGATCAAAGACTCAAAGATCAAAGACTTAACGTCTTTGGTAATTTTTGACGGGAATTGCTAAGTTTCAGTGATTAAGGGAACCAACCTAATACACAATAGTATAATCGATACGATCGAATTCATGTTAAACCGTTTACCTTAAAACGAAGTGTAAAAATATGAAATGAAAATTTTCAGATGATTTTGGAATAATTTAGTATTGTGGCTAGTTCTTGTAGTCCACAAGAACATGCGTTTGAAAGAAATATTATTCATATGTATAAGAAGAAAAGTATTGAACATGATTTAGATATTATAATGCGTTAATTGACATGATCTATTAATAACTTGAGATTTGATACGTTAAATCCAATTTCCAATTACATTAAACACTGAAGAGGTGTATAAAATATAAAATATAGAAGATGTAGTAAAATGTATAAAACGATAATACAGTACTCTCTCACTTGTTTTTTCAATTTATTGTTCCTGTTTTTTATAATCCGCTGTTTTCAGTAATCCACTGATTTGAGGATTTTATGGTGAAGAATTAGCGAGAGAGGGCTGTATTTAAAAATAAATTTATTTAAGGCTTATTTATTTAAAATATTAAGACTATATATGTCAAGGTTGAAGTCAGAAAAATATAAAACCCTACTTATTTAATACAAAATGGAGGACCAATCCTGGACACAACGGTTACGACTAGTAATTTTAAGTTTACATCTGACCTAACTTTAAACTTTCTTTTACTTTTTAAGCACGAACACAATAAAAATGTAGAGAATTCATATTATGGCAAATAAAATCCGAATCGATTATAAAAGTTCATTTTAAATGATAAAATATTAAATGTATATTTTTTTACAAGAAGTATAATACATCAAACATTGAGAAGATACTACTATCGGCGTGAAATTACTTTCAGAAATTGTCTTTATAGAGGTGTAAAATAATATTCGTATAAAAATTAAGAACCCTTTATAAACACAGTTTAAAGTAAATGCGATGAAACCCTAAGTAAAAAACCTTTAACACTACAAGTTTGAGACGAAATATTATACAGATTTAAATGATATAGAGGGTTCTGCGAAGTTGAAGATAGCCGATATTGGCCGTTACCCCCTTTTATTGCTCGACGTATTTATACAACTGGACATAAAAATAATATAACCACTAACATGCAATATTTTCCTGGTAATAATTGAAAATTCATAAAAATAGATAACATCCAATTTCATACATAACATTTCACACATATTACTTAAGAATATCGACAGCATACTAACATACATTTTCGCAACGAAAATATTGTTTGATACACATTTAATCTAAAACTATAATAAAAGCCAAAATATATATAACTTTAATTCTATGTAAAATGATTCTGATATACATTTAATGTTCTCAGCGCCAGTCTATCATTTCTGCACACGCTCGTGTACAAGAACGATACACTGGGGCTGAGAGTGTAAAGAGTTTGATTATCAATTGGTACGATTAAATTAATGATTGCAAAATTACGAATAGTCCCAAATGTTGGATAGCCTGGTGGTGCCGACTGTGACAATAATAAGCGACCGATATAACCTTAACTAGATTCCGACAGCCCGCTTTAGATGATTCACACAGCGTCTTTGTTCTCGCTGCTCTCATCTTGTTCTGGTTCTAAACTGCTTCTGAAATAATATTTTTATATTTAATAAGGGTGATAAACGAGCATCATGTTAAGTGGATGTTTAGGCCTATAGACATCTACATCAAATCCTCGATTAGGAATCAAAATGCAGAAGTGTTGCTACCCACGAGGACTAAGATGGAATGCCTCGTTTCCAGTAAAAAGGGTCTCCGGTTCTCCACATTCACCATACGAAACACAGAAGCATTGAGCTGTTATTTTACGCTGGTATTCTATGAGAGCGTGGTACTTCCCTAATCGAGTCGACCCATTCGTGTTACTGCCATTATATAGCTGCAGCACGGCTCATATAATAAATACATAATTTTAGTGATACTGTATGCTTGTAATGTAAGTGATTCCTTCGCTTGCTGGTTATATCGCCAATCTATTTACCAAGAGTGACGATCACGAAATCTTTCAAAGTAATTTATTACACATTTTTCTTTTTGTTTTTTACTACCCCATATAGTCAAGTGGGTGTCGTGAGAGGCGACATGGGAAAACTGATAAAGAGATGCGCGGCAGTCCTTCTAATAACAACTAAAAAATAAAAATATTGCGGTTGGCAAGCCACCCGCCAAGCGTGGCAACTATGGCAGTCTGTGGGGAGGTCTATGATCATCGGTAGTCCAGATAAGCCGTCATTTAATAAAAGTGGTGTAGATGGTTTAAATAAAGTGAACCAATGTGTTTTGACCGATCATAGAACACAATTTCTCCTCATCTGTTCTAAGAAATGTTAGGGAAATCTTTTTATCTCGATTTTAATAATCCTTTTAGACTTGTTTCCCCATTGAGAAAGATTGGGAACTATTTTAACGTGAACATTTTAAAGGAACAACACTTCGTTTACTGATAAATGTACTAACAGTTTTTATAGACGTGAGTTAGGTGGTCATAATTATTACAGTTTACTCGGATTTGACTGTGAGTGCTAAAATAAATTCACCGCGTTTCATTCGCGTTTTGGTGAATTTTTAAGTGTGTACAAGTGAGTTTTCAGTTTAAAGAAAAGGTTAAATGCTACAGTTAGAATTTTACGTACAATTTCTTCTTATTTAAAAAGTCAATTAAATAGTGGATAAAGGGCAACATGCTGTAGATTTCATCCTCTCATTTCTGAGAGTTTTAGAAAATGTCCACTACTTTCAAGGCGGACTTTCCATGTCTTCGAAATGTTTTTTTTAATTTCTCAGATTAATATCTCAGACATAACTGGACTACTGATAAATTAGGTGTTCTAAAAATTACATTCAATTACTATAGGCTATTAATTATTTAAGGAAATCTATCTAACAGCATTCCAAGATATGGATAGTGAAAAACCTTTGTAGATTCTGTTTAAATGTAGGAGAAAAATAAATGAAATATAGATATATAATAATGTAGCCGAGCCGCATATTTATTTGCTTACACAATAAAATAAATAGTCCTTAATTTAAGGGTTTTTTATAAGCGCGCGTCGGCCGCATAGCGCGCAAGCTTGTAGCAGTGCTACGGGGCACGGTATTTACGCGTGCTTTTTTTAAGTGCCGTGCAGGGGCCACACAGCGCGTAGGCTCGTAGCAGTGCTAAGGGTATCAATTAGAGGTGGGCCGAATATTCGTTTTATATTCGGTATTCAGCATATTCGGCAGGTTTACCGAATATTCTTATTCGGCCAAATCACCGAATATTCGTTAAATTCGTCCTCAAAGTATCCACTGTATGGAAATGTACGAATTGAGTAATGCCATGTCTTTCATCATTTTACTGTTGAAAGTATATTTATTTCTGTGTTAAATTTACTTGTATAACGATATGTTTTTGAGGCACTGTAGATTTATTTCGAATTATAGCAAATAGAAAGCTCGATAAAATTTTGTTTGGAATCATCAATAACGATCAATAACATGTCAGGTGTGGCGGGGGAGCGAGGAAGGCTCTGGCGTTAATCCCGTCCGCTTTACGGTGACACGTTTCGACATAAATTGTTTAGGTACCGAGGTAATCCTGCCGAATAATGTTCGGCCGAATATTTGGTTCGGTAACATTATTAGCGAACGTTCGGCCGAATATTGGTATTCGGTGAAATCCATATTCGGCCCATCCCTAGTCTCAATACTTACGGTGACTCGAGGAAGCGTGCAGCGGCCGCGTACCGTGCGGGCTCGTAGTCCTCGGAGTCGGCGGCGCGGCCGCGCGTCAGTCCTCGAACATGTTCGCGGAAGGCGGCGCGTACCGTCCCCTCCTCCACCCTCTGGCGCTGCTCCGACGCCTCGGTGAAGCTCTCTGCGGATGTAATAGTAATAATTCAAATTCGCAAATAACTAGTGTTCAGTCTCAACGGACACTAGTCATTTGCGAAGGACAGGATTATAGATTATAGTGTCCGGGTCTATGTGCATGGTGTACCCTTATTATTTCGTTTAACCCCTCGATCCCAACAAAAAGCCTATTAGCAAGCGCCTGGCAAATCCCGAGCGGTCGCATGCGATCGCACCCGCAGCACTTAAAACCATTAAAACTTATATTTAGAGATAACTTTTGTATGAAGAAGTTTGGCATTATAAAATCTATACAAAATTCTCTATATAAAAGTCAGGTTTTACTTCAATACAAAAAGACTATTTTATTTTGATAACAAAAACAAAACATAAATCACAATTATTTCAATATATATTACTCAAAATTAGTTACGTAAAAAGAAAAATTATATTCACAAAAAAAACCTTAATTACAATTTTACAATAAAACACTATACTAAAACACTAATAAAACACTAGAAAAATCCAAAAATCAACACAATAACATTCACACGAAAATGGCGTACGAGATGAACGTAGATAATAAATAAATATTCATAGGATAACTTAACTTTTTATTGCACTAGAGGTTAGAACATTTCATATTGATTCTATAATGCCAAACTTCTTCTTAGAAAAGTAGTCTTCACATATAAGTTTTAATGGTTTAAAGTGCTGTGGGTGTGCGCGGTCGAATCCGACCGCTTGGATTTTGATGGAATAGCGCCGCGGTCGCATTCGACCGCTTGGGGACTGAAAGGTTAATCTTACAGTCCTATGGGATGATAATCCGACACGACCGTAGAGAGAATAACTGCTTTACGTGCTTTCCGAGCCACCGGGGTGAAACACCGCCAACTTCCTATCTATAGGCTACTACTAAGAACTTCCTTGACAGAAAAACCAAATAACTGTTGGCCCAACCCGGGATGAGAACCCGGGGCCTCATGATCAGCAATCGCGTTTAGAACAACTTAACCAACTAGGCAATCGAGTCCGTCTGCCGACATATTATTTATTAATAAACCCAAGCAGAAGCTATATTATGGTTGTACCGCCAGCGTGGCGCTCTAACACGTGAATAAATCAGGGTTTCTGTCAACAAGGCGACGCCACTTTGGAATGAAGTGAAATACTTGACAGATTTCATGGGGTTATTACCTTCATCCATCCTAAGTAATCCACCCCAGGGTGGATACTTGATACTCGGAAATAATTAATACTTGATACTCGGTTTCCGAGTGTCAAGAAAATCCGCGTTTCCGAGTATCAAGAAAATCTGAAGTTGCAAAGTCAGGAATATAATGGTGAATAAATTTACACTTCTCAAGCTCTCTAAATGTTTCATGAATTGCCAAAGATGTGTGGTGTGGAGTTATTATAATTAAATACCACTCTTTTACTGTTGATCAATTCCGGCCGGTTTTTTCTCAATTTCTTGCTTGAGCATCATTAGTTGTTGGCAGTAGAGATCCAAATCGGTGGTTTTACACAGCAGTAAATGCTCGTAATAAACGATGACCTTCCGATCCCACCATACAAAATATTTTTTACTTTTTATTTTTATTTCTTAATGTCCTATAAGTATTGATATTAAAACCAGCCAGATACAAACAGTATAACCAAAGAATTTTTTTTTTCAATTTTACATTAAAAAAATACGAAGAAACTTTTTAATATAATATTTTACATAAAAACTTTGCATCACCATTTTAAGACCATAAGATTAAATTTTTGAAGAAACAAAAAAAATGTCAATTTTATTATTTTTAACTGAATTTAATTGAATTTGTAAACTATTACATTACATTAAGTTATATAAGTATAATATATTAAGTTAAAAAAAACATGTATGTATTAATTTTTCTCTGGTCCCGGGTGGTACTGGATCGTTTTCAAAAAATGCTAAATCCGAATTCATTTGTTTCATATTATACAGAACAGATTTAGTAATTTTTGGAAAGTCAATCGCTCCGTGAAATAAAAAGTTTCAGACAAACTGTAACACACTGTTTCAACCCCTTAGATGTTGAATTTTCCTGAATCCTATGCAGCTAATATCCAATTATCAGATTTCTACGTCTAGTGTTTGGGCTGTGCGTTGTTAGATGAGTCAGTTACTCAGGGCATCCTCTTTTATATACATATATTATACTCGTAGATAAGGAACTACCAATAAATATTATCTACAGCTTTACACATACTATTTCCATAATAAGTAGCTTTGGTTTATTATGTCCTACATTGGGCGATAAAGAGCCAATGATGAAGTAGTTTTGTACCTTATGTATTTAGTTTAGTTGAAATAGGGCCCAATTTAATTTTTGCCCCAGGACTCTTGATTACAAAGCTACGCTACTGATCATTACCATACTTTGATATTTTGTTGTTCGAGTTTTTAATGTTTTAAATTGTTGATTATCGTGATATTTTTTATTGAATGATAAGTAGTAAGTGGATTTATGACTGCAATCAATAGCATAGTTGTTTAGGATTACATTAACAAAAAATACGTGTGGCACTCGGTGACTGCCGCGGTAAAGCTATTGCATAGCATTTTTTATCAACTTATGCAATTATAATTATTTATTTATTTTATTTATGCAGTTAGGTCTTTGATATTAAATCAAGTTACACTTTTTGAGCGTGGTGAGCGATAAGAAAACAATTTTTTTTTCTCTTATTGAATGAATGAGAAGTTAATATTGTTTAAAATATTTTTAATATCTTATAATACATGTAGGTTATTCAGGAATTTTTATCATTGAGTTAGCAGCTAGTGTACACGCATACGTCTAGTCGCACGCACACAAACACCGTGCCGAAGTCTGCCGAGTGCCGAAGTCTGCCGAGTGCCGAAGTCTGCCGAACTGAAACGACGTTAGACGATGCACGGCTTTCAACGCCACACCTCCGTGCCCGTCGGAGTGGGGAGCGTGAGGTTTTTTTTCGTTACGGAATTTCTGGATTCGGTCCCCGCGCTCAAGGCCCGCGATAGAAGCTATGCAATAGCTTAAAAACTGAAGTTTATAAATTTGTGTTCACAGTACCTAAATATGTGATCTAGGATGTTAATTGTCAACATTTTCTAAAGTACACCTATTATCACTTAACTAACATGGCTTTTTTTTTACTAGAACTGGTACAGGTTGTACCAGCTTATCGCCCCGTACCTGCTTCACGTTGAGTTTTGGGGCACCTGTATAATGTATGTACACTAAATATATGCCCTACAGAAATATATGACACCGTGTATCAACTATCTTCACCTCGGTCTGAACGCCCCAAAAGCGGTCACTTATCAGCCATCATTGTGCGGCCTTCCACTAAATAGAATGACGAATCGGTAAGAGATAGGCACGAAAGACGATGGAAGTAGGTAAATCAGGACCGTGCCTTATGGTATTCCATGGGGGAGATCCATTTTCAGCAGTGGACTTGGGAAGGCCCGTAATGAGATGATGATGACTGGTGCGCTTGCCGAATAAAAATACAAATTACAAGCTCACCATTAATGAATCCGTCCAGGGTTGTCGACGGTCTCGATTGACGAACACGTCTGCGTTTGCGTGAGGGCATGCCGGAGAGGTACGCGTCGCTGTACGGAGGCTGTTCGCTGCGCTGAAGGAGTTGGTCACGCGAGAACACCGGCACCCACTCATCATCCCAGTTCTGGACGATCAGCATCGGTGGGACCTGTAGGTGAAAGTGATTGTTAGCAATATTCCAAATAGTGACGCGACAAACTATTAATCTCAAACACAAACATCTATTTTAAATGTATAAATTATAATAAATTCATTAGCTGCGCACATCTATCACATCATATTCCATCAGTGTACAGTAAAAACCTTGTACCTCGAACGACACTAAAATAGCATCAAGTTTTACATCTAGGACTCGATGCCTACGGATTTTACTTTAGCCGTTTGTGCCATAAGAACTTGATAAGCAAACACTATTTTATAATACAATTTTCTGCTGAGCTGAATTTATTAAGAAACTAGCTTAATTTGGTGTATTCTTTGAAATGTCTATATCTAGCAGTGGCCTATGTTGCAGAAGGCTGATAAGAAGAAAATCCACGGCCATAAGTAATAAAAATAGAATAAAATCTGAAACAGTATTTGATTCAGATTACATACATATATCTGGAAGGGAAACTGGGAGTACACAGCTACTTTTTACAAACTATCTCCAAAAAATCGTGACAGATTAGTTTAATTTAATATTACCCACTTGATATAAGCCATATTTTCAAAATAAAAAAATAAAATAATCAAATGACCGCAGTTCCAAATTCGAAACATGCAATCATAGATATAAGAAGAAAGGCGATATGGCCAGTAGTAGAAAAATGAATCGGAATCCGATATCTCAAGTATGGTACCACTAACTACTACACATGCAGAACAATAAAAGCAATAGCACAGTTTAAAGACAGTCATAACAGATACGCAGTCGCGCACACATACGCATTCTATAAATCAGAACGTAGAACCTTATCCCTACAAACACAGCATGCATTAACATCATGCACCGTATTACTTACTCCTATAGCTGATCTACTAACCTAGGCTATCTATAGCTTACGTTAGTAGATCTGGCACAAGCACATCACTAACTCATCGCAAGATACGGCGGCAGTACTGAGCGATACATCCGAATAAATAAAGTATCATTTTATGATATTCACATTGCTTGTTCAGTCACTTAGCGACATACTTAGGTAGTCGTAAAGGAACAATGTATTTACTGCTAAAATAGTTCATTCGCTGTTATATTTGTAAACAAAACTAACGTAGCAAGAAACATTTTACGATTTGTTGTTTTCATTATTTTAAAGATAAATGTAAACATTTTTATAATGTTTCACGATGACGGCAAAATGCGCACTACTTCACGGAGACGGCCATTTGCATAGAACTTGAGCATTTTTATCATAGTGCGCGTAGACAGACACGTCCCATTATCACTTCTCCCGATTTTTGTATGTCTGTCTGCAATCGACGTTGTCAACGAATACAATCGTTTCCTAAACAAGATGCAACTCGTATACAATCCATTACTTGACCTTTTTTAAATTCAAATAGACTCATGTATTAATGTTGTATTGAACAGACCGAAGTGCACGCGAAGTTTATTTCCACTACAGTTCAAACAAACTTCAAAATATAATATATCATATATCTTCGACAAGAGAATTCTCTCACCCTAAATACAAGGCGAGTCAAAAGTTCGTTCAGTCAACAGTGAGTTGATACCATTAATATCCTGATCATTAAGGTGAGATTTTGGTCTAACATGAGTTCATCTTATACACAAAAAATAAATAGATATGTCCTCGAAACCATCTCACTAGATGTTATACCACACATGAAATTTGAATCCAGAAACCCACAACGCGTAAGGCAGGTGCGCTGAGCTACAACGATATAAATGTGATATTTTGCATGTTTTTTATACATTTGGCTACTAATAGAAGCATTTTTGTTTGATTGTTGATCAATTTATCAGTTTCTTTGATTTACTAAATTTATTTAATATGAAGGTTCAATACGTTTTCAAAAAAATAAAGAATTAAGTTTCTTTCTTCACTCTGCCAATTTTATCTTGAAAATAATTAATCTTACCACTCGAGTAATTGCTGGCGACTCGGGGGTGCTACGCGATGATGAATCCGATTTTGCGGCTCTTGAAGTCCTGAGATAGAAAGTGAAATCAATGTGATTAACGCCCTTACCCATCACCTAAATAATGAAAATATAAAAATTGGTCGTTACTCTTGTTTTACACCGCGAACCGCGGCGATTTTGTTTAGAATAAAGGAAATATTACTAAAGGTTAAAAATGTTAACTAAAAATAAATTAAGTTACGTTAGTTACTATTTACAGTTAGGTAATATATTTCATAAAATATAGAAAAATAAAAAAATAAAAATGCTTCGGTGGTTTGGACAAGTACAAAGAATGAATGGGGATCGAGTGACAAAGAAAAATTATGTTGCCGTAGGAAGTGTCATTGTCAGCAAGGGACACCAAAGGTTTTCCTCCAAAATTGATTTTCATAGATTATTAATATTTGGTAGACTTATTAAATATGGTTATCAAAATAAATAAGCGACGTTAAAATTCGATATTTCGACTAAAGGTGTAAGCATCCTTAACCGATTAGTGAATTTAACATGAAACCAATATTAGCCGCTATATAATGTGTCATTATAAATTAAATTTTCGACTACCCTCCCGGTTTACACCTGCCTTAAGCGTCGTGGGTATTTTTTTAATATTTCCTCTTATTCATTATTTCATTGTTACTGATTTTGTATGCTTCATTTTATGGTCAAGTGCTCTTGATATCCAGATCTTGTGCTGCAAGTCATCAACACTGCAGAAAAATCTCACTCTAGTCGCTTCAGTCAATAGCTATGAAGTAAGATTTTCATGTAATCAGAAGCAGTAACTGTGATAAAACGAACATGGGGAAGCACAATGGTTCCAAGAGAAGTCTTCTTTAAATATACTGAACGCTTCTCCGTGGATTCGTATGCATATACAATGTGTTCGGTTACCGGTGTCAGAGCTTTTAATGCTATAAAATATAATCAATTTCATCGAAAAATTATGTCTCAAATCTCATTTAGACCTAGCTGTATTTAAATGGCAGCCATTTAAATTTTTCAGTGTCACCACCTCGACCCCGCGCAATAAAATTACAATATTCACCGATGTAGAAGTCCTACATTCTTAAAAGATATTTCATTGGATAGATAAAGATACGCGTAATAAAATAAAAGCAAACTTTTAACTGCAAAATTGTACTTAGATCCTAAAAAGACTTACAAAAGAAAAAAATATAAAAAAAAATTCGGTTATTTTTTCGACTTTAATGAAAAAAGTAAGTCTTTTACCTAATGATTTTTTACATTAATCAGATAGATCAGAACATTTCCTAACCAAAAACATAAAAATCTTAACTGTAAATTAAATAGTTTAAGAATTGTACTTTATCAAACACGACCTCTTAAAAGCGCAAGCTGCACGACGATCATTTATGATAGTTCAAGAGCATGTAGAAAAACCCATAGCCCATTGTTTGATGTTCTAAACAAATGTACTTGGGACAACAAAAACAGTCGTCCCTCGCCACGCGTTGTGATTACACTACTTTTGCCCCTCTAAGATCGCTTGTTGTTGTTATTGTTAAAAAATTCCGTTTTGTGGAACTTAATGATTTCTTATATTTACGCGAACACTATACATTGATTAAAACTACTTTTACGGATTTTATCGCGTTTTATTTATATTAATTTTAATACCCGACGTTTCGGGTGCTTTCTAGCACCCATGGTCACGGGGGACTGAGGTGACTGACGTCCCGATGTCAAAGTTAACCCGGAGTACCTTCAGCTTTTTAATTATTGTCTTTGGTCCGATCTACGCAGAATGAACTAACTGTATTTTGAAGTCTTGCAGTGGTATGCTTGGGTTTAGTTTTAATTTTATTAATTATAGGATCCCAAGCAGGTGGTAGTACCCAGCCTCCTTCTCTATTGAAATTAGGATGTTTTTTAATTTCAATAGCCTCACGTATCATCCTTGGTAGGAATCGATGTTCTTTCGCGAGGATTTGTGGTCTATCAAATCTGATGTAATGGTTGGGGCTATCTAGAATATGATCGCAAACTGCAGACTTCCCGGAACGTTGATGCTTCACGTCAGCTATGTGTTCTTTTACGCGGGTTCTAATTGATCTCTTTGTTTGTCCTATATAAAAAGCTAAAGGTACTCCGGGTTAACTTTGACATCGGGACGTCAGTCACCTCAGTCCCCTGTGACCATGGGTGCTGGAAAGCACCCGAAACGTCGGGTATTAAAATTAATATAAATAAAACGCGATAAAATAAAAGTAGTTTTGTGGAACTTTTTAAGTTTGTGGTGAAGTTTCTAGTTATTTTGATAATTTCAAAAATGGCAGTGGTGAATACTCAAACCAGCATGTCGCTGATATCCACTTTGTGTATGGATTATGCAACGGCAACAGAGCAAGGATGATTCTCCAACTTGACGGTGCACCTACACATTTTGCAGTAAATGTGCGAAATTATTTAAATGAGCGCTATTCGCCGTGGATTGGTCGCGGTGGAAAGATCGCTTGGCCTCCGCGTTCACCGGATTTAACTCCCTTAGACTTTTTTCTATGGGGCACTATGAAGCAAAGAGTTTATGCGAACGTGCCAAACTCACGAGAAGAGTTGATTAATAAAATAATCGAAGTTGGAAATGAATTGCGACAAGATCGTGAGATGATCAGACGTGCAACTCAACATGTTGCAATAAGGGCTACAACATGTCTCCAACATCGCGGAGGTCACTTCGAACAGTTTTTATAAATAACTTTTTAGTGAAGTGCATTTTGAAATGTTGTGTTTCACTCTTCTCATCAATTCACTTTGTCTGTCTGCGACCAGGGCGACAAATTTTTCAAAGGTCATATTCAAACAGTTATAATACTGATTTTTTTTTTGGTTACAATTGAGATTTTTATGTTTTTGGTTAGGATATGTTCTGATCTATCTGATTAATGTAAAAAAATCATTAGGTAAATGACTTACTTTTTTCATTAAAGTCGAAAATGTGAAAAAATAACCGAATTTTTTCCATTTTTTTCTTTTGTAAGTCTTTTTAGGATCTAAATACAATTTTACAGTTAAAAGTTTGCTTTTATTTTATTACGCGTATCTTTATCTATCCAATGAAACATCTTTTAAGAATGTAGGACTTCTACATCGGTGAATATTGTAATTTTAATGCGCGGGGTCGAGGTGGTGACAATGAAAAATTTAAATGGCTGCCATTTAAATACAGCTAGGTCTAAATGAGATTTGAGACATGATTTGTGATGAAATCGATTATATTTTATAGCATTAAAAGCTCCGACAACGGTAACCGAACACCTAGTATATCTTCATTTAAAATATCCTTCCGTTCACATTGATCCGTAATTAGAAGAATTATGGACTGAACACAGATTTCTACAGAAATGGAAGAAACAAGAATATGAGACAACAGTTGACAAAAGCGTAGTTCAAGCACTGAATTTTTTTTAAATAGGGGGACAAACGACAACACAGTCCACCTGATGGTAAGTGGATGCTGTGGTCCATAGACACTACATTTATCTTCGATTAAGAATCAAAATGCAGATGCAATGTTATCCCTGAAGACGAAGATGGAATGCCTCATCTCCGGTAAAAAGGGTCTCCGATTCTCTACACTCACCATAAGAAACATAGCAGCATTAAGTTGTTATTTTACTCTGGTATTATGTGAGCGTCCTAACTCGGCCAAGACGACCCATTCGTGCTACGACCATACTATGTCTATACATAAAACCTACGGCCCACAAAAAGTGTTCTGTGTACGTACGAGTATCAGGCACAAAAAAAAATACGCCACTACTACACCCCCTAGTGTCAAATACGTATCACACCCGTGTTAGGCCTTTGTCACTCTTGCTACCTGCGTTTAATAAATGCCTACAATCGCGCAGAACCTCAGGTTGCGTAGTGCATACGCAGAAAGGGCTAGCGCGGTTTAGGCGAGCGACGTGCTAGTGAATTTCAAAGTTTTTTAACAGTGTTTATATGTAAATAGATTTTTTGTAAATACTTGTATAAACATTTTTGTTTATAGTTTAGTATATTTAGTTACAGCAGAAAATATTAAAAAAATATATATATATATATATATATATATATATATATATATATATATATATATATATATATATATAACAGAAAACTTAATAATGATAAAACCAGCTAATAATTTACTAAAATAATTAACGATTATTATCAATAACTGTATAGTGTAGATCAGAGCAAAATATATATAGAGGAGTGTTCCTTGTGATGAATTGAAGTTGTTTTCGGTGAGGAAAAGGTAAAATTTTTAAACTTTGTTAAGAAAATACACAAGGTCAAGAGCGTCTTTCGGACTTATCAATTATCGCAATTGAAAAACAGTTATTGGTACAATTAAAATGTTCAACATTTTACGCGGACGTAATCAAATATTTCCTTAAGAAAGAGATACCATTACATTTAGAATATAAATAATTTGTTTTTTTCGTACATAGTTTGTACTTTGTTCGTGTATAAATATATTTTTCTTTCGCTCAAGCAAACCCAAACGGCTTTTTTCAAAGCCACCGAAGCTATGCAATTGCTGATATGTAATACAATCTATCTAGCAGTGTATGCCTTCTGTGTGCTTTGTTAAAGACGCCCTCGATAGCACTGAATATGAAACTGAAGCGTGGAGACAAGATTGGTGTATTTTTATAAAACTGCTAAAAACAACTAAACTATATCTTGGGCTTGCTCTAGTTTGGAGACGTAGCTTCGCCACTAACCACGTGGTGGCGTTACTAAAGCGATATAGTGACGTAGAGTTAGAATTTATATTTTAGAAAAACCATTTTAATTGTAAATTACATGAAAAATCAATTTTTTATTTTTTATTCTTCTTAATATTTTTTAACTTTCAAAAAAATTAAAAACATGCAACTTAATTTAACCCAGGGGATATACTTTTCTATAGACATATTATACAATAGCATCACATTTTAAAAATCTCGTATTGGAAAATGTATCAGCCTATTCATATTCGATTAAAGATTTATGTTATTTATTCGATTAGATCCTTCATCATCATTAGCATTATAATTACAGATTAAAACAAACCCACTGTTGGACATAGACCTCTCCCAAGGAATGCCACAAAGCAATGCTCGTGTTTTGTCTTAGATGCAGTTTCTATGCGTCTCAGTGGAGAGAAGTGCTAAGAGGCTTAATGGTAAACTTGATTTGGTTGAAATCAATTTTGTCAGCTTCGAGCACAGGTGCAGAGTAGCCAACCTCAAGGTATTCTATAGAACGCATTTCGGAGAGAGAGCGCGGGAATTAAATTCTTTAATTCCTTCCTCTTTTTACTTCTACCATCGGACGACGAAACGGTTGGCGAGACTTCATCCCTTTGTTGTCGATATTTCACGCATTAGTACTGTTACGAGCTTGGGGTTCGTGACAATAAAAACTGCCGATTGAATTACCAAAATTAACACTTTAATTCACTTTACTTAAAAGACACTAATAATTAATCACACTGATTCACTTTATTTTGCTCCGAAGCTTCGCTTGTCTCGCCAAATTCAATACTGCCCCGATCGCGGCATGCTGCGGGTTTAAATTCACTTTTACACCGAAACATCCAGAATATTACAGACCAGACGCAGAACGTTCGAGTGTGGGGGCTTCTAGAAAGCTTAATTCTTCTGTTCGATAATAGATGGCGCTGTTGGTCGAGAGCAAAGATTGACATTTTCTAGGAAGCCCTCCTCGCTCTTTTCCTCGACACTAGATTTTTCTAACCACAACGTCAACATAGGCGCGCAACAGTTCCAATGGTTTGCTTCGTCTTTCGTGATGCGTGCAGCAAATTAGTGGAATAATTTGCCGGCGTCAGTTTTTCCGTCCGAATGAATACAATCTGGGCGTCTTCAAGGCAAGAGTGAATAGACTTTTGTTACGTTAACACAGTGCGATTTACCATCTAGAGTACATAACCACTTACCACCAGGTGGGATTGTGGTCAAGTACTGGCGTATAACAAGTAAAAATTAGTAATTATTCAAGACAGTGTAGCTGAGCAGTACAATGCTGCTGTATATCGTATGAGTGACAAGAGCCAGACATCATTTTTATAGGTAAGGAGTCATTACATCTTGTTCCAAGGTTACAGAAGTATGATTTTTATATGTCTATGTATCGTGGAATACATACATAAAATGCACAGGTCCAAACGTCCAGACTCGGAACAATTGTCTGTAAGCCGTATTTGTTCCGTGCGGCCCTCAGCGCGCAACTCACTGATAAGCCACTGTGCCATGGAGCCGTTATATTTATAAAAAGAGGTATATACGAACACATAAGTTTTTTGTTTGTCATAATCTACTCATGCACAACATAACACTTAAGCAATACATTGAAGCTATCGTGGAACGCCGGAGATCTAGGAACAGTCATAATATGAACCAATATAAACCAATAATTTGTGTTTATTTCGACTTTTTCTTAAAAACAACATTTGTTTGTTGTTTATAAAAACACTTATATTGTTTCGTGTGGGAATTCCATTCCCACACGAAACAATATAAGTGTCTACTACATTCTTTAAACATTAAGTCGCATGATTTTTAATGTATGTTACCTGGAAGGCTGCGGGTTCTGTGCATCACTACTCTGTGTAGAGTTCTGCATCACAGGGGACAACAGCGGGGTTGTTTGGCTCGGGGGAGTTGGCTGGCTTGAAGGGGTTGACTGGTATGGAGGGACTGACGGGCTTGGGGAGGTTGGTTGGCTGATGGTCGATGTGGCCGGGCTTGATAAAATCACGACAGGATCAGTCATGGTCTCAACGGTAGCGGTCTCCGTGATGTTTCCTCCTGGTCCCGGACATGGTTGCACCACTGATGGTGAGCCAGGGGGCGTGGTCTGCATAGCTTCCGGTGTCAGTGATTCTTCCAGCGAGAATGTGTCATTGCTTATGGTCTGCTGCGCCTGAAAAAGACCCACAATAAATAATGACAATAATTATCTACATAATTTAATTTACAAATGATATGCTATACAATATATAAACCTCATCGATTTCGTTAATGGCGATCCTAGAAATTAGGATATTTTCCTATCATGAGGTATAACATGGCTAGCTAGGCTGTACTTGTTCTTAAAAACTCTTTGATATGCGTGTCAGTAGTTTATCAGCTAGTTGTAAGTGTATGTGCAGGAGGGCCTAGGACTCTCTTTACGCAATTGGTGTTTTGATGATTTAATGTTTTTGAAGATGGTCGATCGCCAAGATGACCATTCTGCTACAAGTCTTTATTCTTTTTCATTCTTCATTTTCCTCTCATAATTAAGAATATAATTCTACCACTTGATCTTTAATAGAAGATCTTAGATACCTTAGATGGTAAGAGACGAATTTCTCTTTATGTCTGATATGTTAAGCACCATGTCTCTGCACCATATACAAGACAGGAATGATAAGTGCCTTACATGTTGACACTAATCTTCATCTCCAGCTTAAAACCATGGAAGTTTCAGATACGACCAGTGAGTCGCCCGAAATCGGCAACAGCATTTAGAAATCGAGGTGGTATCTCTGAAGTCATGGTATTATCGCGCCAGATATTGCCACCATGATATCTGAAGAGAGCTACCTCTTATAATGGTTTTCCATCTAGATTTAATGCTGTTGGATCAGCTTAACCTCCTCATGGTGGTTGCTTTAAGACTTAAGTGTTGGCAAGATCCATGTAATTGCATCGATGTAACTTTACAGATGCACCACACTATCTGACAACAGACACACTACGTCAGCGTAAATAATCTGTAATATCAAGTCTTTAACTTTAGATTTCGCTTTTAATCTTGTAATATCAAACACACCTTCTCAGTTTTGACATTAAGCTGAATTTGGTTGCTACCATAGAATACTATAATACACAATAGAATCGCTGTCAATCTTATTTTGTAAGAGGATGGGTGTCGCCGGGAGCACACATATAAGCTATTACGTCGTATTATCACTACTACAAACCCGATTCGCTGACAGACTAAGCGAATTTAGACATTTTAGACTTGATTAATTTTCAAGATTATCATTAAAAAATCGTTTTAATTTTAATATATATTTATTTGTAAATAGTGTGCAAACTTATCGTAAATACAATCGCAGCAAGTATAATTTTTCTCTTATTATAACTAAGTTAAGTTACTTTACACAAAATGGGGTTACCACCCCTTTTCAGGTAATGAGGCATGAGGTGACAGTATAGTATATTCTATACAGTAATGATACGTAACTAGAAGATCGAATCTAAAAGCTTAATTGCAATTTTTTTATGTTATCCTATAGAGGGAAGAAATTTAAAATTTAATAAAAAATGTTAAAATTGAGTTTATTCATAGGTCATTAAATTAACATTTTTCATCGTACTTTATCGTATCTATTTTAGCTTTTCATTAGGCAAAGAAAAAGTTTAGAAGCGACAATACTTTTCGGCTTATCGGTATCGGTAAAATTTTGTTACATCTGTAGTACTTGCAATATCTGCTTTTGACACATCAATATTTCTTTATTTTTGTTTCTAATATTCACAAAATATAAATAGTTTCGACTTACTGGTTGTAGGATATGCCTCCTTTATTTAAATTCCATTTCCCGCTGTTCTTGCGACACGTAATTATTATACAATTTGCCATTTTTTTTAAATAATTTGCATGCAGAGACGCTTGACACAAAAATTGGAAACAATTGTAACGTCAAAAGATGTGTAGACATTTATAGATGTGAATTAACATGTTAGTGGCTACACGGGCTCCACCTACTCCCCTTTTCTATTATGTATGTATTATAGTATTCTATGGTTGTTACAATACTAATGCATCTCTCATAACTGCTGAAGGCGAAAAGTGAGCTCTATGACGCATCATTGATTTACTCCACTTGTGATTTGGATTTCCTCAGAAAGTTCGTACTCGAGCTTTCATACCAACGTGGAATTGACAAATTAGCTTGACGAACTTCTTCGGATATCCTATTTCTTTTAAAAATAAACCGTGCTGCCTCGCCTAAAACTTTATCAAATGATTTCTCCAAATCAACAAAGCACATGTAGGGGAGCCGTTGATATTCATAGCTTTCCCCGGTTGCCTTACGATAGCAATAGCGTCCATAGTTCCTCTGTTTGTACGGAAACCACATTAGGGAGGTTCTGTTATGCTTACACTTAGGTGGGCGTTGATTATGTGCGCATGAATTTTACTGGCACTGGAATGAAGCGATACGTCTCAGGAGGAGCTGCAATCGGAGGCTTCCCCTTCCCTTTGTACACCTTACAAATAACCGCGTCATCCTGAGGCACCTCTTCACTATCCAACACTCAAGGCAAGATGATAAAGCTTGAGTGAGAATTATGGACAAAGTGATTAATAGGGTACTATTTCATGACGTCCAGACAGATTGAAAAAATTTCTGGACGTCATGACGTGTATGTTTGTGTGATTAAGTTGATTCTAGAATGGTTTAGATTTACAATTGGACTTAATAGATGGCGCTGTTGCCAAGATCAAGAAATCACCCGTGCTAAGCCGGGGGCTGATCTCCTGTAAAATATAAGTTATAATCATTACAGATCAGAATAAAATGATAACTTACTTGTGACGCTCTGTCTGGTATGCGATGAATAATATATATCTGTATGTTCTCTATGTTAGAAGCCAAATTCGGTCGTACACGCCGGTAAATATCCAAGCATAATGTTATAAGGTATTGATTGATTTGTATGTCTTCCACTGTAATTACTTCAGCCTGGCCAAAAAAAAATACTATAATAATATACAACGAACTATATAAAGCTGTGAAACATTATTAAGATACTATGTAAGAGAATTATTCCATTTTATGAATATAAAAATTCAAAAAAGAATTGAGAACAAAAAAACAATTTTAGCATTTAATCAAATCAGAACCTTGTGAATTAGATATTATATGAAAAGACTGAGTAGGGGCATATACCAGATTAAGAATAGCCTGACTTGCGGCGGGGGAAGCAGAGACGGCTTGCCATAGAATGTTTATTCAGTATATATTACAACACTTATTGGAATTCATATACTTTACTACAGGTTCGGGAAATGCCTGTGTCCTCTGAAGAACCAGCAAGCAACCCAGCGGGACTCTTTTTTAAATAAAATTTATTTAGTGCATTATTTTATACAATTAGTATAAAAACATTTAGAAACAGCACCGTAGCAACACCGAATTTCCAGGAGTTATTATCATTCATATACTCTAGTAGTACAATAATCCTTACTAAACAAAAAGTGTGCTTGTTCATAATATTTACGTAACTATTTTTCTTTTAGAGTAGGTATGCACATTAAATAATTATGATAATTACAACAAATATTCCCCACCCTTGTCCAACAGTAATTTTTAAGGGTAATAAGTAGGAAGAGAGAGAGGTACTAAAAGAGCGTTTTAAACTTTGAAAGTAAGAATTAAAATATAACAAGCTATCTGACTCTTTGAGCGGAATTAAGTTACTGTATTTAAAATCAGACTTATATTAGGTAAATGGTTAGTATAGTTTGACGTAGCTAGGTCTCTAAAGCATATGTGATTATCTGGATCATTAGTAGTCCATTATTGAATCTAATTCATACTTTTTTATTTTCTATATTGTTGGGCTTTTTCTTGTTACGTATATTTTTCAGATGTAGTATACGATTGTAAACAATACACAAGAATACATATTAATATATAGAAAGAGACTGTATGCACACAGTGCTAACAGTCCGGTTTCTATCGAATCTTATTTAATGAATCAAATTAAGTTCATTTACTTCGATCAACAATACCAACTAGATGTCGGATCGGCGCAAGAAATCCATCTCCGTAAATAAGAGCGCACATGAGACATGATCTCTTGCACGTGAGAGTGTACCTCGCAAGGCAATAACGGGAAAAAGAACTTTATTTTTTATAACTTAAGGTTGATTTCACACTAAATGTTATTTAAATTTATGTGTTTTCATAGTTTATATTCATGCGGACAGTATTTAGCTATGATTTTGTACGTGACCCGTTATCTAGTTGGTATTGTTGATCCATGTTCATTTAATATAGATTTAACAGGTCTATACTATATAGGTTCATTGAAGTTGATAAAAAAGCGGCGCCAAACCTTCATATCGGAGTGCATGACAGAGAGAAAACTACAAAATCGAAGCTAGCCGATTGTCTTCGATAGTCACTTTCTACGGCTAGATGCGTTAACTTAAAGTCCACGAGTTATAAACGATCTAAAAAAAAACTAAAAATAAACCTCACTTACCATGAAAGAAGTGTAAAGCGTGCGAAGCCCTTGGTCTCCATCCTCGCAACAGTAGAAGACAAGAGTTAACATATCAGTGAAGAGCCTCGAGAAAATCGAGTAGAACCGAGCTGGAAAAGTTTCTCCTCGGAGATCAGTCATCAAAGAGGCAATCACTGAGGGCATCCTGGACCTCATGAGAGATCTGATCGACGCGTATAGATAGATGTCAGAGCGCAGTGGCACCAATGTCGGCTGCAATAAAATCGCAACATACAAGTTTTTTAGCTGATGCTGTCATCATACATTCATAATATGCGAAATTACTAAGACATAGACATACAACATGTATTTATTTTATTTATATCTTCATAATTTTTCTTATAGGTTAGGGTAACAAACAAGCACACAGTCCACCTGATGGTAAGTGGTTGCTGTGGCCCATAGACATCTACATCTATATTCGATTACGAATCAAAATGCAGATGCGTTGTCACCCGTGAGGACTAAGATGAAATGCCTTGTTTCCAGTAAAATGGGTCTCCGGTTCTCTACACTCACCATACAAAACACCGTAGCGTTAAGCTGCTATTTTACGCTGGTATTTTGTAAGAACGTGGTCCTTCCTCGGCTGAGTCGACCCATTCGTGCTACAGCTACACTACATATAGCTAAAGCATGGCTCTACCAGTTTTTGGGAGATTTTGACAATAGCTCAACTCAGCGGACAATAGACGGCGACAGTCACTCTTGTTCATAAGGCGCCTAAGTGATTAAAATAACATGAAGTTCGTATCAATATCATATCACTTGTTACGTCGTTTTCTCCAATAGTTTACAAGCGCATACACTTAATATACAAAATCGCATCACTTTTACATATCAAAGTCAACTTGAAACCATTATTTAAACGACAAACCATGAGCAATAATCCGTCGACGGTCAAATTCCCTCCAAAACTCTATACAACATGTATATTAATAGTTTTGATAGATTAAAAGTTTCCATTGGATTGAATGTCTCCAATCTTTTTTTATAGAATAAGGGTGACAAACATCACTCAGTCCACAGTAAGTGGATGCTGTGGCCCATAGACATCTACATTTACCCTCGATTAAGAAACAAAACGCAGATACGTTGTCACCCCTGAGGACTAAAATGGAATGTCTCGTTTCCAGTAAAAAGAATCTCTACACTAACCATACGAAACACAGCAGAATTAAGCTGCTATTTTACGATTGTATTCCATGAGAGCGTGGTACTTCCCCGGTCGAGCCGACCCATTCGTGCTACAACCGCAATTTAGCTGCAGCGTGGCTCTACCACCTTAGGAATCATTCGCAATACTAAAAACTCAAAGACGTAGAAACATATGTTAACAATGGGTGCGTTTGGCAGAAAAAAGCGCTAAAATAGCGCTTTTCGGCCAAATGGACACGATCGCTACTTCAGTAAGCGCTGACACAATCGTCGCTATTTTGCTTATTTAATTTGTTTGTTTTCGAAGTAACGAGTTTATAAGTTGTTTTGTGCAATATTCGTTTTAAGTACATATCAATGACATGAATAAACATATACATGCTATTACAAACTCATGATTGGTAAAGTTTTAATATGAATACTTATACAAACATATATTTAAATTAGGTTAGATTCCCCGGTTAAAACTAACAATCGTGTCCTGGAGGAAAATAGCTACTTACGATTTGACAGCGCTTACCGCTTACGATCGCCATTTTGCTTACAAGCGCTTGCTAGCGCTTTTTTCTGCCGAACGCACCCAATAACTGCTATAGTCCACCAAATCTAAGAAATACATTTTGACAGCTGTCAGACTTATTGCACCAAGCATGCTAACCAAAAAACTGAAACGTACTATATTCGATTCTTTAAATAATCGATATCGATTATTTAGAGTTGGTAATCATTTACAGTTTGGTTTGAATAATACCAGAATAAATTAAAAACGGATAATTTAAAACACAAGATTTATCAGTTTCTTCGTATTTGTTATTACTGCTTATTTCTAGGGTCAAAGTTATTAAAAAATTTAAGATTGAAACTAGATTAGAAATTAATTTATTCAATTACTTTCAGTACAACTGTCTTATAACTTAAAGTTGAGCTGTCGTGGTTTAGATTAATTATTATTTGATAATAATGCAGTCAAAATTAATGTCTCTTTCAAAGTCATCCATAATCAATTTTTTGGATTTTTCTACCACTTTTGCCCAATCATCCTTTGTGACATGGGCACATGCTTCAACGATATAATATAGAAGAAACAGTCCAAAAAGTTAAAGCCGAGTCACAAAATAAAAAGACAAACACAAAATCACAAAATTACGCACAGTAAGCTCTCGAAATGGCGGGAGATTGAAATTACGTAATGGCTTTTTCCTTATAAATGAGTTTTAGTAACCTTATTATATGAGTTTTTGCATACAAAAATTTACGTTGACAAAATAAAAAAATTAACTTGTTTTATTCATGATTCATGTAATTTAAGGAATTTTAAAAATAAAAATTTAATTAAACAGATAATACATCAAAAAATTAATGATTCGATTATTAGAATATTTTAACCGATTATGTAATTATTTTTGCCGATTATTCGCATAACAACGAATTTTAATCATCCAAACACTATGGTAAGCTACATAGTTTGAAAGATTCGAATTTAAATTAGTGTTAAAAAACTATACACGTTGTAATGCTATATAGATAACTTCATAATTCTTCGGATTTACGTAAAAGATTATTTTAAATCATGTGAGTACGCTTGTGCAAAGATATTGCGGAACGAGTAATGTGATACGTCAAAAGGTATTTCTTAGATTTGGCTGACTATAACTATTTATTATGTTATTTATAACTAAAGGAAATTCAAAAGGCAACATTTTTATCTTTAATCATTAAGATTACTAATTGAGTAAATAGACTAACCATTTCATAGATGAAATCGGCGTAGCTGGCGACCAGAAAATCAGCTGCCACCTGGAAGGCGTTATCCCCGTCCTCAGCTTCCGACATGTCGAGGAGATGTTGGATATAGGAACGGAGCAAAATACGAATAGTGGGGAACTCATTTGGTACCAGTGGCAATTCCCCCGACACGGCCTGCATGAGTTCCGGCGAATAGATGTTGCGAGCCTGTGATAAAACACAAGTGTTACAAGCAAAATGTCCCGCCTTTGAGGTTCAAACAAACATACTATTAAATTTAGAAAAAAAAAAACGCATCATTCGGCAATTAAAATAGCGTACAAATATTAATGTTTATATATTATTTCATTACATATAACTTCATTAAACTTCTTACGACTGAACTACTTAAAAACTTAAATTAACAACTGTTTAAATTTCAAAAATTATTGGATTTTTTCTTTGGACAATTTTATGAAGAATCAAACTGCGTAGTGTTTTTCAAGGTTACTGTATAGCAGTCTCATAATTAGTAATCGGCGTAGGTAGTACTATTCCCGCGATTTAGTGACCGTTTTCTTAACATGAATATGTCTTCTGAATCCCGGGACATGTATTATTTATTTATTTTATTAAAACTGCGTTATTACCGGTATTCATATTTAACATAGTCTAAAATTACACGAGTACCGCAAAATTGCGAGGCTCGCGTAAAATAAATAATTATTTACTTTAAACTGTATATAAACTTCTTCCATATGAACATGATATGATAGTGAAGCAGAAGATTATTAAGATTGACGTTATTATTATTATTTTATTTAACAAGTATACTCACAATACACATATATGAAAATCACGAAAACATACACATTTCTATACTCTCTAATATGTATATCCATAACAAGTGTACATAACATTCACAAATTGAGTCGTGCAATTTTGGGTCAATTTGAAGTAAAAATATCATCCGATCAATACAATGAAATTTGAACTATTCAAATAAATTATGTACTTAAGAAAAATCTAAAGATAAAAAACAGGTTTAATTATTAAAAGGGAATATGGTTGATATTATACTCTCTTCAGGAGTATGATTTGTCTATTTGAAGTACAAATATCATCCGATCAATACAATGAAATTTGAACTATTCAAATAAATTATATACTTAAGAAAAATCTAAAGATAAAAAACAGGTTTAATTATTAAAAGGGAATATGGTGGATATTATACTCTCTTCAGGAGTATGATTTGTCTATTTTTCTAAAGCCCACTTGCATCAACAGTTTAACTTTCCGGTTAACGACGCAACTTATCTTCGATAATTATGGTTGAGGGGTAGTCAAAAGTTCGCGGAACGACAGGGAAAGATAGTGAAATGAAACATTAAACTAATTTTCCTTTTATTCTCCCTTAACCCTAATACATTTATTACATCCGTCAATTAACTTATTAATACCGTCTAAAAAAAAAGATTTGTCAAGGGCGACAAAATAGGGCGCCTTCACGTCATCATTGTCAACAATTTTTTTTCCCACGCAGTTCTTTCTTTATTTTTGTAAACATTTAAAAAATATATATATATATATATATATATATATATATATATATATATATATATATATATATATATATATCGCTTGGGGCTAGAACTGGGCTGTAGGGTGGGTGGCTCAGTTTTTTCAAAACCGCACCGGTGAATGGCAGCCATCGCAACATGGCTTATGTCGTGCAAAAATAGCACGCCTTTTGTAAGCTTTCCTCGCCTTTTTTATAGCTTCTTTTAATTGATCTAGTAAAGAAGCGTATTATTCTGCCGTTATGGATACACCACGTTCCTTATAATCAATCAAAAGATTTTTTTTATAGGAGAGCCCTCCCTCGTATAAAAAAAATCCTTTCATACGAATCCAGTGATTTGAAACGAGCATACGGTTCACCTAATGTTAAGTGACTACCGCCGCCCATGAACAACCGCAACACCAGGGGAATTGCAGGTGCGTTACCAGCCTTTTAGAAAGGAGTATTCACTTTAAGGTCCCTAGGTCGTATACCTTCTGTATCCCAAAAGATCGTCGCCATGATCTTTCTACTCTATTGAGACACCTTATACTTCACAACTGACATCTCTTGAAAAATGGCTTGAGATGTCTTTCCTTGTTTCTCCATATTGGCTAGTTTCTTTCTGATTGATTTATTTACTCGTTAATAACTCAACAGCTAATGACCCGATAAGACTGAAACTCGGTATATATACTAACAATGGGTCACTCAACTAACACCTTACCTGGATGAGTAAACTCACCCTCGCCAACCTCGCAATTCCGTGAACATTTTGATCTCCCCTCGTATTTGAGCTATCAAATATTGGACCAAACTAAGTTAACTCGAGAGTTTAGTTAACTATTGCACAAGTCTACTTTAGATTTTCAACTGACTTCCAGGTGGGGGTACTCAATTCCACTGTATTCTTTTCAGTGCGTTTTTTCTATTTTAAAATCTGGTGCTTTTTATGCGATCCTATATAAATTCGATCAAGATGTAGTCAATAGTTTTTGAGTTATCCTAAATAATGCACATTTAATTGACTTCGACTACATTGATATGTTCATTTTATTTGTTTTGAGAACGCTTGTACAAAATTTTTAATTTTAACACTTGTGTTTCTATGAACAAATGTTGATTTCCAATATCTGAATATTTGTTTTATTTTTATCTTTATAATTTAATCATCTTCATATTTCAAAAATTATTATAATAAAAAATTATGCTTTTTGAAATATAAGATTCAGTTCCTCAACTTTTATGCTACATATGAACGAACGAACTACAGACAAGGTGATTTCTTACGATTTTAAACATACAAATTCATTTCATATTTACAAACAATGGAAATATCATTATGGTCCAGTATAATCAGATTCCATCTATTGACAAGAAATATAGCAAAGAGCACCGCGTGAGACCAAATGAATAGTTTGATATGTCTTCGTGCTTATTCTGACATCAAATACGGTTTAACTTTACTTAATACGCAGACATTCAGAAAAATATTCCCAGGAATCCCGGAGCATGTCCTTATTAACATCATCATTCGAGTTCATTGACCCAAAATGGTACAACCTACGCCGTCCACTACTCATAATTGTGTTAATTATTTCATTATGTATTTTTATAAACATGACATAAAAATATACTTACAACAGCGACTAGGAACGCGTTTAGCCAGGAGACATTCGACGGCGGGTAATGCAGCAAGCGCTCCATCATGATTATGTCCTCCTAATTCCAATCACCACAAAATACATAAATAAAAATGGCTAAATGTGTGTTGTGACACGCATAAGGTAGGGTTCCGCCACAGCCTAAGAAGAACATACAGTTAGTCATCGCGTGTTATGCTGTCGGAAAAGGCGAGATAAACAATACATTGTCAGAACGACAAATAATAAAAACATTAAAAAACTGATTTATATAAATAAAATAGTGTTCAGAAATAACAAAAATACGTTATAATAATTTTGATTTCTTGTCTTTAAGTGAGGACGACCCACAGTTTTTTACCGCATATGTAGTGTGAACCATTTTAATTTGTTTGCGTGACAGGACAACCCTAGTGAACAGCTCCCGAGCTACTAACAACCGCTCGGGAGCGCACCCACCGAGACTCTCCCCGCTCCGCACCGCACGATTGCCCCGTCTAGACGCCTTCGATAACTGGCTGTTAGTAGTAGTTAGACTGTGGTTCCGCTGTGCAAAGTTTCTGTTTTCTAAAACCAACAATGTCAGTTAAGAAATCAAGTACGAGCAATGTCTTAGTTTTCTTTTTATATTAAGGAATCCCCCAATGCTAGGCCCTACCCATACCTCTCACCACTCTACCAGAGATTAGCTAGCAAAAAATGTCATTTAAACATTTCGCATTTGTACCAATATAGTACAGTACAGTATACCTGCAGTACAATAAAGTATAGAATACTTTTTATTCAATATAGATTATACGAATCTTATAGGTCATTTAGGGCCGATCTTCATTTGCCGTTCACATTTCGTTCTCTGTCTGATCTCGGTCTGATTTACGGATGGTATGAATGCATACACATATTTTTTACTTGATAATATTTTATCATACATATACATATACAACACGTAACATAATTAACGCACTTTGAGAAAGTAGTTTGTTCAGAATCGTTTACTGAATCGATTCCTATCATTTTTATTATAAATAATTTTTATCCCAAAAATAATTAAAACTACGTAAATTACAGGCACACCAAATCTGTACAGTACAGTAAGGCAATAAGACTTTTAAGAGTGCAGTTTTATTTGTATTATTACTAATTCTGTCATTCAAAATAAAGAAAAATGAACTTTATTTCGAGCACGTTAAAGTCTTTGCGTTCGTGGATTTGTACTGTGACCACAACATTCTTCCGGAATTAGTATAACTAATTTGATAAATAATTTTTAACTAAAAATTCAGTATTATGATTATAACATAATATACTAATTGGGGTGTCTGAGGGTGTGCGTTAATTACGTTACATATTGTGTATATATATATATATAATATATATATATATATATATATATATATATATATATATATACAATATGTAACGTAATATATATGTGTGTGTGTGTGTATATATATATATATCGGCCATATATACATGTATTACACGTATAAAAAACCAGCAAGGGACAGCAGGGACCCAGCGGGACTATTTTTTAAACAATAATTTACAATATAATATGTTGTACAATTAAATACGAAAACATTTAGAAACAGTATGGAAGCGATCACCTCATTCCCATTTTATCAAACGTGTACTCTTTAGTATTGTAATAATCCTTATTAAACATTTTTTGCTTAATAAAAATTATAAATCCTTGATAGGTAGGATCCTGCATATTTTCAACGACTTTGTTGCTAAATACCCCATGAAGGAATTACCGGCTCTTTAAAAGTCGAGTAACTGGAAAAACTAGTTTGTTCTTGTTCCTAGTATTAACATTATGTACATCACTATTTTTAATAAAACTATATTTGTTCTTGTGTACATACATTAAAAAAAATTGTAGTTTTTAAGGGTCTCCTCCGCAAAACAAAGATAGTTTCAATGTCAGTCGCAATACCCCATATCTAGATTCCACGAAAATAACTAAAATAAACCAATCTAGGTAGCTGTTTCAACACAATTAAAGCCTATAATTTTTTTACAGTATTTTATCTACTTTAAAGTTAGGCTTTATTAAAACACAATTATGTATATATGCAAAAAAAAGTATTTGCATGGTCTATTTAAAAATAGTTTTGATCATACGTTCTCGAAGTGTTCTCTCGCATTTATTTATACTCTTAAAATATCATGTCCTCCAGTAAGTGATGCTATAGAATCAATTTATCAACATTATAGTCTTAGCTAATAAATACTTTTAGCCAGCAGCGTCTTTAAAATTCAATTATAAAAACCGCGGTTGCTGACCCGTATGCGAAGCGTGGCAACCATTGCAATATATCTTCCTGCAATTATAAGGCGATCTACATCATCGGCAGTGAACTCTTGTTAGACTGTAATAATAAAGATGATGATGATGATCAAAGTTGATTTTATTCTTTTAATAGATTAACTTTGATCAGAGAGGGCGGCAGGAAAAGTTACAGTGAAAGATAAAAAGCAGGCAAGAGATTTAGCCATGGCTAACTTACACGTGTAAGGCTGGAGCCACGTTCCCTGATGATGTCGATATTCTGGGCGGCCACACGTCCGGCCCGCAGGCGCATAATGGCCGCAGCTTGCTGTTGCTGTTGCTCCCTACAACATAAAAAGTAAAACTTGTTGTTTAAAAACGGTTTTTTTTATAGGACAGGGTGACAAACGAGCCACACAGTCCACCTGATGGTAAGTGAACGCTGTGGCTCATAGACGTCTATCTACATCTATTCTCGATTGATCGATGACTAAGATGGAATGCCTCTTTTCCAGTAAAAAGGGTCTCCGTTTCTCTACGCTCACCATACGAAACACAACATCATTAAGCTACTATTTAACGCTGGTATTGTGAGAGCGACGTCCTTCCTCGGTCAAGCCAACCCATTCATGCTACAACTATATTAGTAATATAACTGCAGCATGGCTGTACCACGTATAAAAGTTAAGCGACTGAAATATTATTTCTACCTTTTTATAAATATATATAGATATTTTATAATTATTATTTTGCCTACAAAGGCAGGCAATCCTGTTTTCATACTATGAGTAACTCCGGTGGTAATCGAGGTTTATTTATTTAATCTTTATTATACACCTCGTAATAAGGGATATCACCTATGTACCTACCTATATCACCTCGTATAATGTGAACCACATTCTACTTTCTCAAATCATTCAAATTCGTCTTTGTCGACGTTTGACGAATTGATTTATTGTATTATATAAATGTATCATTATCCGATACATTTTTTTTAATCTTATTTTAGGTTACAAAATACTATCATAATGAAAACCATAATGCAATAATATAATGCCCACCGATAAAGAATACCACTAAGAGTTGCACAAAGGCACTGCAGGTCTGACAATACTGGTTGTATTGCTCACACTCCCAGATGAGATTCAAACCCACCACTTACGATTAAATAATATACCATTAAAAACATAACTTGTAAAAAAACCAACTCAGTTCTTCTACCGTAAAAGTTGTGAGATCCATGTAATACCAAGTCGGTTAATTTATTCAGTTCCTACTTAAGGGTCCTTCTGTTTTAAGTTATTACGTAATTAGCTAACCTAACAACATTTTATAGTGACCATATCAATGTTAAAAGTCTTTTATGTTTTAAATATATAGATTGACTTGGCCATCCTGCCTGTGCCTTAGAGTTTTGATGATCGGTCAGTCAGTGAGTGACAAAATTAAGAAATTTTGACTGGTTACAATTCTTAAAATACTGGTTCAAATTAAATGAAATTTTAAATATACCATGTTTATACAATGATTACTCGGTTAGTAAAAATTCAGGCTTCTAGTTTTATTGAACGTGAAGTTATAAGGGGTCGAAAATGGCCTGAATTGCTTCGAGAAAAGATGGTACGGCCGTGCCGCTTTTTTGTTCGACTTGGCGGGGGCACTGCCGTGACCCCAGATACAACTATAAACCCATCGTCTTTTGCATTGCATATTCATACGAAATTTTGTCGCTGACATCAAATAGTATGTAAAAAAGTGTACAAATAGTCCAAAATAATATAAATACAAACTAGTATCATTGCAATGTAGTGATGTACTCCACAACTTTAAATACCGCTAAGTAAACATTCGGGTTTGTCTGCCGGACAGGTTTTTTTTTTTTGGAATTTACAATAAAGTATTACAAAGCAGTAAATTATTCTATTATAGGTTTGAATTTACATATTTCCAAGAGATTATCTTAGGTGACAGACTTGGATTGCAGCTTATAGAAATCATGAATCTTGGATACCTAAGCGGACTAGCATCATTTGCTCGGAACATTTTGATAAATCATATTTCATTCCTCAAGCTATCAATAAAAGAGGGTTTGCCGATACTGCTGTACCAACCTTGAAATTGTGGGAGGTAATGTCTAGCTGTAATTATATCAATAGATTAAATATTTTTATTATTACCCTTGACACCAATATTATTCTTCTTAAAAATATTTTAGAATTTCGATAAGTTTACAATAATGACATCTTATATTTACGCGAACACTACACATTAAATGAAACTAATCTTACGCTTTAATGTCGCGCCTTCGACAAAATGTGGCACGTGCTGAGGCGGCGCGGCACAAGAACGATCGTATCTAAACGAACAGACCAAGGAGAACTAAACCAAACGACGCCTCGAAATAAAAAGCAATAGCATAAAAAGACTCCAATGGAAGTAACGGTATTTAAGGCAAAAAGTTACAAGTTTGCAAGAAATATTTGGTAAAGAAAGAAAACAAACAGGTACTAGTAAGATAGGAACTGCACCACGGACAATGACTTAGCGCTACAGTATCCTCAATAGCCGACCAGCGTTTACTCAAGAGGCGCTGTCGGCATTAAAATTAAGAGCGGGGAGTAACCCTGATATAAAATTATTGTGCCTTGGTCATGGATGAAATAAAAATTAATCAGTTGATGGAATACCTTGCTAGCACCCAAAGGCATTATGGCTATGTCGACTTTATTTATTTATTTGTATTTTAGTTTGATATAACATCAGATTATTCCGATGAAGCTACTGACGCATTAATGTTTTTATTGGTCGGTATAAACACAACGTGGAAAGTACCCATAGTCAATTTTTTGATTAAATTTGAATTAAGGTCTGAGTTTGATGAGACTTTTCAAAAACTGAAATCTCATTCTATTAACTAATAAAATCATAATTTTATATTACACTAAAGGACCCTCAAAGTCGCTCAGCAAGCTACGGAGACGAAGCGAGCGAGCGAAACGATGCGAGCACTGAAGTGGTAATGGGCCGGTCATTTAGTTCGAAGAACCGACAACCGAAGGGGAAAAGAAAAGGTTTTCTAGTAGCAGCCTCGTACCGGTGGGCGAAGTGTAGGTCAACCCCCGGATTGATGACCTGATAAGACATGCAGGTAGTAGATGGATGCAGGTGACTTAGGACCGTGCTTTATGGCATTCCTTGGGGGAGGCCTATCAGCAGTAGACTTGTGAAGGGCTGTAATGAATAACTCTAAAAATCGTTTTTACCAACGCAGAACTTATGCGGACTATGATGATTTGTTTATCGATAAAAATATCGACATAGTCCTCGCCTTACGTTGTTTACACATATAGACAGCGGCACCAATGTGTCGACACATGTACAATTTGATGGTGTGCGCAAATGCAATGATCACAAACACACAAATTCTGAAGTGTGCGTTTATAGTGATGCGATTCAATTTTTCATTTGTGGTGAAGTATACGGTGGTGTTTTCCTCGCCTTCCCCTAAAAGTGACATACTTTTTGTTTAGGAATTAACGGGCATGGCCTCTCCACTTCGTTGAATAGTCAAAGTGCGCAAGAGATTCCGCTTAAGTCATTCTACAAATGAAGTCAATCTATGAGTGCTAAGATAGTGTCGTGATTCTGTTCGTTGTAGTAATTCTTCTGGTGCAGGCAAGGAAGGAAGATTATGTTGCTGAGAGGCTCCTGGGTTAAAGTGAGATGTGTAGTGTTGCTTTTGGCATGAATATTTTATTATTGTATTCATGTAATTATGTCCTTCACTTAGACCAGTGTCCGATATGACTGGGACATATTACGGTATGGTCGAACTTTAATTGGTCTATACTGATATAGTGTGTTACTGTCTTATTACTGATAATTATTAATTGGGTAAGCAAGAGAGCAATTTTCACATCCGCTCTCACATTTTAATTATTTTTAACAATTAACCTTATCCTGATACAATTTCAGAGATCAGAAGTGAGATCTTCTGCTGAATTTCCGATATTAATACAGTTGATCTTTATTTGCTTCTTTTATAAATCTTATCGCACCTCCAAATTAGTGTACTTACTCTGCTCACTCATAGGTTTACTACTTACTTTCTACTTTTTTCGTGTTGTTCTTTGTACTTTTTGTGCAACAAATTTTAAATAAATAAATAATATATAATATATTTAAGTAAACACTGAAAAGTTTTGACGGGAGTTGATCGCGAGTGAATTAGCTGACATATAATGTCAAATCTCATTTTTCTCTTTTCTCTCTTTTATTTTCTTTCATTTTTAGTCATTATCTGTCAAATAATGGCTAAAAATGGATTTGGATATGTGAAAGTGTTAGAGTCGTACTACTTTTTTGATGATAAGAATTAGTCGATACAATTGCTATAGTGTACAAGTGTTCCAGTGGTGATGATCCTTTAAGTTCACAACTTAGATAATCTGCCCTAAAAATTTCAACATTTCTTTACAATATCGATAAAAAACCTATTGTTAAGAATTTTATGAACAATTTAATAATAAAATTTTCCTGTCCTGGCAAATATACTAATAGCACAAGTTGATAATCAAAGAAAAAAAAATAGTTTACCTGCGTCTCTGTACGCGTCGCCTTCCGTGCACATTGTCGCAAGGCAGGAACCGATCGTACACCATGTTGCCGAGCGTGACAGATTGGCTACGAGTTGTTGTGGCGCGGCGCACATGCAGATTCGCTGAAATAAAATAAATAATTAGACAAAATGTTCAGTGTATGAAAGCAAAAAAAAAAAGAAATTTGGTAAGAGAATTCACCCAATGTCTGAAATGCAAATTTCTGTATTTGGGTCTTTCTCACGGTCGTAACCTGAGATCCTCCGAGGGAACTACCTTATTGTGTTTTTCCTCGCCTTACTAAAAGTGTCTCAGTCTTTCGCCGCTAAGGCCATAAGGCTTTTGAAATAAATTACCTCCACATATTAGGAAAACGACTTCTGTAGCTGCCTTTAAAAGAATGGTGCCTGGTCATTACCTTTCTTCTTCCAGGAGCTACCTTTCTTATTCAAATGTTTGTGCTTATGTAAGGCTTGATATTATAAATTATTTAAGTTGATTTTGTATAATATGTTCATATCTGCTGGCTTAAAATGTATGTATTATATATTATTTAGGTTCTTTGTAGTTATATATATTTATAATTGTATTTATATAATATGTATGTTTTTATAGATATTCACTTTTTTTTTAAAGGCATTTTAAATGCAATTATAAGTTCAATAAAGAGTTTTAAATAAATAAATAAAATTCACAGCGTGAAAACAATAAAATTCATACAGAATACGAAAAGCAAGGCACTTTTCGTATTGTGTACGAATATAATATGCAAAAAATGTACAACCAATATTTAACCAAGGCAACAAACAAGGTTTAAATCCGGATAAATAACATAAAAAATGTTAAGTACCCCCACTACCTTTGACCACACTAAAATAAATAAGCTTAAAACGCCTGTAGTAGGAGTGGTTAACCACGGTAATTGAAAAGCGGATTCAAACCCATGACTTTATGAGTCTGCAATTACCACTACAGTTATCCTACCATTGGACTACTGTAGAAGTCCGTGACTAAAGCAGATATAGTATTTTAAGACGTATCTACAATTTTCATACGTATGTCACAATTTTCCAGAAAATAGTAATAATTTTGATCAAATAGGTATTTTATGATATATACCAGCCAGTAGTGCTGGCTGGTGACTGATGAATAATGAAAAATGTAAGATATAAGAGTATTGTGTTTCACTATTAGACTACTTAGATAACAAACGTATATTGGTAGACGTCCATTTTTGTATCCTATTCACTAGTTTACAGCTGGACATGAATATCTTAGGGAAAATTTGCCATTAACACCACGCATGGCAGGCAGATTAGTAAAAACCGTCGCTTTTTTCGCTTTACCATCTTCACCTGCATTACCACTTACCGTCTGGTGAGATAGTAGTAAAGTGCTGGCTTAGAATAGTAGAAAAAAACCGTGTGTTAGCAGTGTAAGAATATCTACTACCCTTTATCATCTCGTGAGAGTAAGAGACGGTAGAGGGAAACTGAAGCAGGGAATGGGCAGGAGCACCTTCGTGATAATAGATGAATAAAAAAACTGTGGTTGCCAACCCGCATGCCAAGCGTGGCAATCATTTTTTTATAGAATAAGGGTGACAAACGACACAGTCCACTTGATAGTAAATGGATGCTGTGGCCCATAGACATCTACATTTATCTTCAATTACAAATCAAAATACAGATGCGCTGCCAGCCTTGAGGACTGGGATGGAATGCCTCGTTACCAGAAATAGGGTCTCCGGTTCCCCACACTCACCATACGCAACACAGCAGTACTAAGCTGCTATTTTACGCTGGTATTCTGTGAGAGTGTGATCCTACCCCGGTCAAGACGACACATTCGTGCTGCAACTATAATATAGCTGCAGGATGGCTCTACCACGTAAAACAATTCATGTATAAAATAATGTAAAAAATCATGACAAATATCTCATCTTTTAAGGTATCTGTTGGTGAGACCTACGTTCAGCAGTTGACTTTTGATAGGCGGTAAAGGCGAAGTACCAAATGTGAACACCTTTTTCGCTACTCCCCATCACAAGTCTGGAAAATTTACAACTTTTGTAAAAATGAAATAAAAGAAAAATAAACTCACGTGGCCTGGTGGCGTTGGTATTGTTCTGCTGTTGCTCTCGGCCCACAGGTGTTTCGGTTGTATTGGCCTGTGATTGGCCTTGACTCCGGCTTGTGGTGCCCGTAGCGGTCTGAGTGCCCTGGGCCGATGTAGCCGATGTAGCCGACGAAGGCATCTGGGCCTGTACGGCAACACCCTCCACTCCGGGTACAAGACCTTGACGAATCACTGAAGAGACTATGTTTTGAAGCAGATCGGCGCTCGGTGGGCCACCCCATGGCATTTGAGCGACATAAACTATGAAATGACATTAAATTTCCTATAAAAACCAACAGACAAAGCAAAATATGCGTGTCTTTCAAGGCAAGAGTGAATAGGCTTTAGTTAAGACAGTGCGCTTCACTATCTTCGGCTGCATCGACGCTTAGCATCTCGTGGGATAGTAAACAACTTTCAGAACTTACATCAAAGGTAAGGTATTAAAAATAATGTATTAATTGTTCATTGACACAAACAGAATGACAACATTTTAACATTAGATTTCATTAAGATATATTTTTAATAGAATGGGGTGACAAGTGAACACACAGACCAGGTGGATGATCAGGTAATCATAATTGGATGATGTGATCCATGGGCGCCTACAGCTATCCTCAATTAAGAATCAAAATGATGCGCGTTGTCGTTTCTGATGCGGGCTTAGATAATGCCCTATTATCAGTAAAAAGTCTCTGGTTCTCTACACTTACCATACGAAACACCGCAACATTAAGCTGGTAAATTAACGCTGGTATTCTATGAGAAGGTGGGCCTCCCTGGTAGAGCCGTACCAATATGTACCGTAACCATAATATGACTGAAGCGCGGCTCTACCATGTTAAAAATATTGAAATAAATATAGAATACAAATATTGGATAAAATTGAATTATGCAAATAATTTATTGAAAATCGACCCAATGTTAAACTTTTGTATGTCAGAGATAATGAGACTTGAATATTAAAGTGACAAAAAAGCAAATAGTTCTAATGATCGTATGTGGTTACCGCAACCCAAGCTCTGCAACAATGAACAATGGCAGCCACAGGTTCGTTTACTTCCCCCCCCCCATATTATGGAATGCTTCACAGCTTCTAAATATACAGACCCATTTCTTTCTTTAAATGGAAAACAGCAGTTGAATCGTAGATATTAATACTTACTATATTGTCAAACTTAGATTTTGTTTACACTTTGTTGCATGCCAAAGCAAATATAGTTTTAAATTAACAAGGTTAGTGCAATATCCGTACAAGTATTAATTAGATATTGTCCGCGCATTCTACCTTGGCCGGGCTAAAAGTTGGCTTTTGCGCATGTAAAGATGAAAGTCGATAGAGATGTGCCACTTCATATTCGCTCCTAACATCGCAAGCAATTTGTTTTGGTTATACCGATTATGATTATCGAAAATTATTATAATAATGAAAATATCTTTATGTATGTCAATAAAACAATAGTATATCAAAATCAAATAAAGAATTACGATAAACATTTTGAATGTATAATAAATAAACGATATTAGTAAGGACAAAAAATTCCTTCACTTTCACCTACTAGCTTATAATTAGCCGTTCAATCACCAGCCTAGCCTCTTTACTAAACAACACCGTTCAACTAGCGGCCCAGCCATCTGAACAAACAGCTAAGCAAATGACTTGAATCGATCGTCAATATAGCGTCGGCAAACAACAAATTTGATGGTGTTTTCCAAAGTTTAATGAAAAATAGAACAAGCTGTCACAACCTACTAGCTTAATTAGCCGTTCAATTAACAGCTTAGCCTTTTTATGTTTAACTAAGGGCCTGAAATATATTTTTGTTTTTAATACAACATTGGAACTATCTTGTAATATTAGCGACAGTAGGTTGGGGTGCAGCTGGGGTGGCCCTTGGGTCACCCCAAAGCCGCGTATATTTATATGTATTAGACGCATCGGCTGAAACGCATGCGCTGAATATCATTCTGTTTTTTAAAAAAATTAATTTACACACCAATGAACAATAAAAAAACATGTGTGCAGTTTACACGCGATAGAAGTGAAACCTTTAGAAAATTGCGAGAAAATTGCTTTGTAATAGCGTAAAATCTACTTCATTTAATAGGTAAAGTCAACTCGTTTATCGAAGAAAAATTGATAGACTCTTAAGGTGCTACGCAAAATACTACTAATTTAATATAAATAGGTAAGTTGTGAAATCATAGAATATAGATGAATGGATTGGTTAAGAAAATTTAATTCAATATTGTTAATCTCATTTATTTCACAAATTTGTATTTTTTTCTACTTCCTTTTCTATTGTATTTACCACAAGGAATGCTCCAATTTCCATTAAATTCAGCCGATTTATTTCACCATCGCACATCGTGACAGAACTCGAGATACCATCCTTACCACCTGCATAATTGACGGTCCAGTACTGTGCGATTTACAAGAAGTTTTCTTCCTCGCACAACTTCTTTGTGAAATCAACTATCACCACAAATTTTTCATGTGTCATGGACGGCGGTAGTCATTTACCTTCAGGTGAGCCGCATGCTCGTCCCCCCCCCCATCATATAAAAAATACTGTCTAGTTTAACAGTCATTTTTTTAAGTATTCTAATCAATAGTTATATTAATCATCCATCCATGCAGTGCTTTATCGCACAAAACGAAGACCGAGATAATTGGAAACTATATAATGTATTCTATCGCATTCTTCCGCAGACGAAATCCTATAGATGTATTTATATATTTGTTTCTTATTAGTGCCGCTTTCTTGTTACATCGAGTTTCAAATCATAACGATTGTAAAAAGTTTTCACTTAAATAAAATATAAAATGAAATCGAATCGTAATCGATAATAACGATAATCGATTCTACGTAACATTTTTCAATCTGTGGTAACAGTAACCGCGCAATATGCGTGTTCGCACCTCTAGTTTTAGCTACCGCCCACCCCCACCCCCACTACTCTTGTCATCAATTTGTTCCTAAAAACTATATGCGCGCAGATTCGGCCGACGAACTTCAGCTCGGCCAAGATTGAATGCGTGCCATGTTATATTAGACAAAAATATATCTGTGTCCGTTAGAAAACCCATATTTTACATTTGTTAATATTTTAATATACATATCAACTTTTTTACCCTTATATATTAATTATTTAATATTAATTTGTAAGTTTGCATCACATTTACTTCTTTATGACTATATTACACAAACATCATATCAAATTATTGTCTTTAATGGCCAAATACTCAAAACGCTAATCGCTCATAGCGTCACAGTTGCTTACAAGTGACTAACACTATGAAAAAAACACACCCTATTAAAGTGTGTTGGTTGGTTCTCACTGCGAAGTGTCCGATTCGTCAGTGTAGGAGATATCCATAGAGTTGTTTCATAGTCAACTTTTAAGTAATTCCTCACTCGGTGAATGCATAGGGAAGGATTCGACGTTTTGATTGGTCGGTTTCGGGGCTAGCTTCAAGGTGTTATTTAAACGTCAAATTTCAATCAAATACATAACCTCAATTCGTATGTTGATTTTTGCAAGCTGGCTTGTGTAACGCTGTTTTAAGTAAAATTTTAACTTAAATACCAAGTATAATTTTTGTGATGAAAGAATTAACATATCCGGCTAACAGTACTATAGTCAACCAAATCTAAGAAATACCTTTTGACGTTTCACATTAATCATTCCGCAATAACTTTGCACAAGCGTACTCACACGATTTAAAATAACCTTTTACGTAAATCCGAATAATTATGAAGTTATCTATATTTCATTACAACGTGTATAGTTTTTTATCACTTATTTAAATTTGAAATTTTCAAACAAAGCAAAATATTAAAAAATAACCAGTATTAACCTTTTTTACTTGACGTGGTTCAATGATATGTCGCTGTGTATATTACCGTAGTGTTTGGATGATTAAAACTCATTGTTATGCGAATAATCGGCAAAATATTCAAATAATCGGTAAAAATATTCAAGTAATCGAATCATTAATATTTTTTATGTATTATTTGTTTAATTTAATTTTTATTTTCAAAATTCATCAATCATGAATAAAACAAGTTCATTTTTTCACTTTGTCGAAGTAAATTTTTGTAGGAAAAATACTCAAGACACTACACAAGGCCGTGCTAAAATAACCACTACATAATTTCAATATACCGCCATTTCGGTACCAGTTATTCGACTCCACAGAATCATTAATTCATTTTTGGGGCGATGTATACGCTTTTATAACAAAATGCCAGAAAATATACAAAATTTGACGTAAGTACACAAAGTTCAAAAACTTTATAAAGCTAAGTTTGTATAAAAAAGGTTATTTTTAATATTAAGGAATTTATGGATGGTAATAACCCCTGGGAAGCGTGATCGCTACCAAGCTATTTCTTATTTGTTTCGTGTTATTAATTGCAACACGCATGAGTATCTGCTCTGCTCTGCTGAGTATGAGCTCTTTTTTTTAACTAGTCCCGTTGAGTTTCTTGCTGGTTCTTCCCAGGACAGAGGTTTTTTTTGCGAACCAGTGGTAAATGAAAAAAGTGACTTTCAATAAGTATTATTCATAATCTATATTGAATAAAAAAGTTTCTGTAATTTTGTGTTTGTCTTCTTATTTTGTGACTCGGCTTTAACTTTTTAGACTTTTTAACTGTAGAGCCACGCTACATCTATATTATAGTTGTAGCGCGAATGGGTCGGTTCAACCAGGGCAGGACCACGCTCTTACAGAATACCAGCGTAAAATAGCAGCGTAATGCTGATGTGTTTTATATGGTGAGTGTAGAGATCCGAAGACCATTCTTATTGGAATCGAGGCATTCCATTTTAGTCCTTATCCATAGCATCGTCCACTTACCATCAGGTGGACTGTGTGCTCGTTTATCACCCAATGCTATAAAAAAATATTCGTTGAAGCACGTGCCCATGTCACAAAGGATGATTGGGTAAAAGTGGTAGAAAAACAAAAAATGATTATGGATGACTGAAAGAGATATTAATTTTGATTGCATTATTAAAAATCAAATATGTTTATATTAATCATAATATAAATAACGACATCCCTACTAGTTATACTGAAAGTGATTAAATAAATTTATTTTTATTCTAGTTACAATCTTAAATTTTTATAGCTGTGCCTCTATAAATAAGCAGTAACAACAAATACGAAGAAACTGATAAATATTGTGTTTTAAATTATCCGTTTTTAATTTATTCTGGTATTATTCAAACCAAACTGTAAATGATTACCAACTCTAAATAATCGATATCGATTTTTTAAAGAATAGAACATAGTACGTTTCAGTTTTTTGATTGGCATGGTTGGTGCAATAAGTCTGACAGCTGTCAAAATGTATTTCTTAGATTTGGTTGATATGGTCAACCAAATCTAAGAAATATTGACCATAAATGGTTACTCAAAGGCTTTTTCTCAGTAATGTTTATTTTGTGCGAGTTTCATGACAATTCATTGAACATACATTATTTTAATTTATAGCTCAAAAAATAGTTTTTACCTCAGCCGAAATTGCACTACTCATAAGTTTGGTGAGTAAACGTCCTATTATTGAAAACAAACAAACAAATGCCAGAAACATTGAGCTAAATAGGGCAGCATGGGACGAAATTGAAAATGCCTACAATGCAGTACCTTTTGTTGTCAAGAGAACGGCATTGCAGGTAAAGAGATGCTGGGAAAACATAAAAGTCGTCGTAAGAAGGAGTTGTCAATGGAAGGTGGAGTTGGTGGGGCGGGCACTACAGCAGAAGTCACAGATGGTATTTGCCCAAACATAAATCTGACTGTACCTGAAGTCATTGACTCAAACATAAAAGAGAAAGCCCTAGGTAAGAGATTTGTTACATATTAAGCATTAGCAAGGATAGAGCTTTATTCCTTGTTTTGTTTACATCACTACTCGAAACAAAGCTTGCATTTTACTTACTACAAACAGCGGAGTTATATTATAAACTATACTACGGCCAACGAGAAGTAATACCGAATGTAAACAAAACCAATAGCATGGATGCGTAACTTTTTGATAGTAAGATTGTATGTTTAAGTAGTACAGTTTAAAAAAATGTATAGTAAACCAAAAAAAAACTTTTTATAAATTTTGTTATAGTTTGAATTATTGTATAATGTAGATTTAAATTAAATAAATACTGTGCCTATTGGCGAACTTCACATGTCTTCGAAATATTTTTTTTATTTCTCAGACTTTTTGACACCAGTTTTACGACCAGAATCGGATGCTGAACAAAATTATAATAAAGCTCACATTAATTAGAGCCGTGGTAGCTCAGATGGTTGGCGCTCGCTGTAAATTTCACAATACGCGAGCAAACCGGGTTCGATCTCCGCCCGCACCAATGAAATTGTTAATTGCAATTTTATGTGCTGATTTACCACGTTCTCGGCGGTGAAGAAAAACATCGTGAGGAAACCTGCATGTCTGAGGAATAAGAAAAAAAAAATATTTCGAAGACATGTGTAGTTTGCCAACACGCATTGGGGCAGCGCGGCGAACACTTCCTTGCCCTAAAACCTTCTCAGAAATGAGGACTGTGCCCAGCAGTGGGACGTATATATGCTGTAACTTTAACTATAATATTCGATAAGATTCTGAAAATCCCCGATAACACTCATTTTTATCATCACTCTTAACTAGTTACTTGTTCGTCCAAATAATTATCAAATTCCTCATCACTAGCGCTCATCTTCATTTAAACTAGGTAGAACTGAGAAACAACAAAAACTTTACACATAATCTTATCCTTTATTGTTTTAAGGTTATGGATTTTTCATTTACGTCGACACTATGCTTTCGTTAAAGTAGTTAATCGGTAACTTTAGTCAAGGTTGTTCCTAATTAGTTGCATAGTGTCGACCAACACTCTAGTGACGTTTATGAAACAAAATTTCGTACACTGTGCATAGCCTACTGTGCGTACGTACAGTATCGTTCTTGAATTTGTGGGTGTGAGGCAGCACGAGATTTAACGGCATCTTAAAATTGAGCAGCGTTTGAGTATTTGGCCATAAGTGAGGCATTTTAAAGTTAAAAAAATCAGTAAGTACGTAATCAAATCCCACTAACTCTCAGCTCCAAGCACAGGCACGGCATTACCTCCACCTTCACCCTGGTGTAAGCCCTGGTTGTTGAGTGCCGCCGTGGTGGCCAAGTTGGCAAGGTTGCCAAGCGCCCCAGTCTGGGGGATTTCCTCCATACTCATAACAACTTCCACGCCACCAAGACCGCCGGCTTGGCCCAGCCCACGGAATATATTTTCGAAGTCTACGACAAAAGTGTTAAATTTAAAAAAAGATGAGGAAACGTCAGAAGTACTGTGTATAACACCAAAAAATTAATAGTTGAATTGAAGAACTGTTAAAAATGAAGTGCCTTTAATTAATAATGGATGAATGAATAGGATAAGTATTTAAATTTGTAAAAATTACACTGGAAGATTATTTTTACAGTCTGAAAAAAATAAGGTGTTACAGGTAAATATAGCTACTAATTTGAAATAAACTTTCTGTACTAAATAAAAAATACAAAAAATTTGAAGTAAATAAATAAATCAATTAAAATCTATCGAAATTCTACTCACACCCAGGGTGCGTGTCTACTTTACGAGCGGCAATAAAACAATAAATTTGGAAGGTCTTTTTGTCCTTGTGTTTTCGCCGGGTCACAGGCTCAAGGGCAAAGCCGCCCGCGCGCTCCTAACTCATTTAAGTGACCTGTGATTAGCTGCGGCGTGACGTCGCCTCGTCATTGGCTGCGTTTGGCAGAAAAAAAGCGCTAGCAAGCGCTTGTAACCAAAATAGCGATCATAAGCGGTAAGCGTTGTCAAACCGTAAGTAGCTATTTTCCTCCAGGACACGAAGTTAGTTTTAACCGGGTAACCTAACCTAATTTAAATATATGTTTGTAAAGTACTCATATTAAAAACTTACCAATAATGAATTTTTAATAACATGTATAATATGTTTATTCATGTCATTATATTACCTAAAACTAATATTGAACAAAACAACTTATAAACTCTACTTCAAAACAAACAAATTAAATAAGCAAAATGGCGGATTGTGTCGCTTTTTTCTGCCAAACGCAGCCATTGTGTCGCATCATATGTGTATGAGTTATCTGGAATGGTATGAGTTATCTGGTGAAAACTTAGACGGTGCGACGAATCGGTATTTACTCGTGTTGGAATTTACAACGTGCACAATGAGCACTGGTGGAGTTTCCAAAATCCACACAAAATCAAAGAACATGCTAATGAAGTTCGTTTCAGTGTTAAATTTTGAGCGGGAAACATTAACGACTTGGACTTTATGGATTGAAGGGAATTGGTTCAATATTGATTGAAGGTCGATTGACGTGAGTAACGTATGTGCAAATGATACGTTCTGTCATCGACACAATGCTGGAAAACGTTCCTGAGCCATCTGCAAGGTATGTACTTCCAGCACGACGGGTGTCCAGCTCATTACGAACGATCTGTGTGCGCATATCTGGACACCCAATTCGGTGATAGGTGGATGGGTCGCAGTTGACTTGTGAACTGTCCGGCGAAGTCACCTGACCAAAAAACCCTCTAGACTCTTATTTGTGGGATGAACTAAAATGATGAATGTACATAGAAGAAGCACAATTGTTAGTGAACGTTTTTAACAAACAATTTACAAAGAAGTTTGTGTTAAAAGAATAACAGAACAAAAAGTAGACATTTTGAACAATTACTGCGATATTGCTAAAAAAGTAAGGTTACAAAACCTTACTTTTTTAGCAATATCGCAGTAATTGTTCAAAATGTCTACTTTTAATAACAGAACAAAAAGTAGACATTTTGAACAATTACTGCGATATTGCTAAAAAAAGTAAGGTTTTGTAACCAACAATGTAATTAGTATAATTTTGTAAATACCAATCTGTAGTTTGTAAATAAGTTGATTTCGATCTTTTAAAAATGCCTAAGATGTTGTGCAGTATACGGTAGGCATAAAAATTCGTAGTCTACGCCGCGCCGTTTAAAATCACTTTTAGGTTTATGCAAATGCGATAGGATTAATTGTTTTTATGTATTTTTTGGATATTCGGAAACTTCGCCTTTCAGTTATATTTTACAAAATAATTTCGAGAGCTTCTATTCCACTAACAAAAAAACTTTTTACCACTATATTATTTTCCAGACGGTAAAAACAGTCACTCAGTATATTTTTTAAATGTATAGATTTTTGGTTGATAAATAGAGCACTTTCTGATTCCTCCGAACATTATAAAAAATAAAACATTGATATTCGCTCTAAATTCTTTTGTCAAACCGAACACAAATCCATGATCATTGATCATGCAACACAACACAACTATTAAATTACATTAAAAAAATTACTCGGGAACACAAATCCAAAGATTCGATTTAATTAAAATATTCTTAGAAAAATATATCCCAAATAATAGGTCGGTGAAAAAGTTCCTTCGTATTTTGTTTGTATAAAATTTAAGAAAAATCTCTTTGGTTGTACTGTTTGTATCTGACTTGTTTTAATATCAATACATAAAGAACATTAAAAAAAGAAAAAAAAAAGATTTCCCGACATTTTTAGTTTTTCTGTCCGCCAAAGTGAGTGAATCTAACTAATAATTTCGTTGATACATTCTAAAGTTTTATCACAACAAAGGGAAAATGAAACTCAAGCCGCGAAAAAAATTTGTGACGTTTAGGAACCAAAAATTTCTTGAATTTTTATATAAAATACGAAGATAATCTTTCTCCGACCTTGTCTTTTCCAATAACTTGTTAAAACTACAACTACTGGCAACAATCTACTATAACAAAATTGACGTCTGAAATCTTCGAAGTTTCGAGATCCCCTCAGTATTAGCACCATCTTAAATACAAAAAAGGTGTCTTACCGAACAGCACTTGGCGTCGATTGGCCTGGTTCTGATCTTCTTGGCCCTGTTGGGCCGGTTGGCCCTGTTGTCTCGGTTGGCCCTGTTGGCCTTGTTGGACATGTTGACAATGTTGACACCGTTGGGCTTGTTGCCCCCGCTGACCTTGTTGACCCTGTTGGCCTTGTTGACCCTGTTGGCCTTGTTGAGCCTGTTGGCCTTGTTGAGCCTGTTGGCCTTGTTGACCCTGTTGGCCTTGTTGACCCTGTTGGCCTTGTTGACCCTGTTGGCCTTGTTGACCCTGTTGGCCTTGTTGACCCTCCTTGTTGACCCTGTTGGCCTTGTTGACCCTGTTGGCCTTGTTGACCCTGTTGGCCTTGTTGGCCACGTTCGTGCATAACCGACGCGGCGTTCAGATTGTTTAAAAGGGTGCTTTCGAACGCGAACGGTATTGGCACCCTGGTCTCTATCTCCACCTGGTACGTTACAGGGTTTGGCTGTATGTTTATATTGACAGTCGACTGCGTTGTGTTCCTACCGGCTCGAGCTCTGCTTTGCGCCGTTTGGCCGTTTTGGGTGTTACTCTCATGGGCCGGCTCGGTGGAGCCGTTACCGTTCGCAGTAGCAGTAGCGGAGGTGGTAGCGGAAGCGGGAGTGGAAGCGGGATATGTTGTTGAGGTCGCGGTTGCGGATGAGTTATTCCCTTGAGGCTGCGATTGTGACTGTTGTTGTGGGCGACGGTTCGTCTGCATTACGTTGATGTGCGCCTGCGAATAAAGAATACGTTTCAATAACGGTAGTATCAAACTAACCATTGCTGCACTTCATCATATGGATAAAAAATTTGAAGGGAGAAAATACCAAGCAAAGTCGTGTAATATTTACAACGAAAATCAACGTTGAATAAACAAAGTTTGCCAACTACACACATGAACTATTGTAATGCCTCTCACTGCTAGTGAGCCACAATGCAGTTAAATTATGGTTGTAGCACGAATGGCTGGGCTCGTCTGAAAAATAACCACGCTCTCACAGAATACCAGCATAACAGAGATCCTTTTACTGGAAACGAGGCATTTCAACTTAGTCTTTAGGCGTGACACCGCATCTACATTTTGATCATTAGGATAGACGAAGATGTCTATGGAAGACAGCATTCACTAACCTTCAGGTGGATGGCGTTAGTTGCTAGTAGCTGTCAAAAGGTATTTCATAGATTTGCCCGCAACATCGTTCGCATAACAGAAGCGCCTTTTGCATGCATGCCTTAACCTTTTGAGCGCCAAAGTCGTCTATACGTGACCAGCACCCGCGTGCCCTGAGCGCCAACGACGTCTATAGATGACAAAAAACCCGGCCCACAAAAATATGAAATATAGACATTGGAAAATTATTACTGGTATTTTAATTCTACACCCCTCAAAAAAGAATAACCCAGCAACATGCGAGTATAAAAAACAAGTCTCCTAGAGCCACAAGTACTAAGAAACATTGAACTAAAAAAAATGGATTTTTATCTAAGCAAATACTATGTCCAGCACGCCAAAGTCGTCTATGTTAGACCGCTAGTGTTGTAATGCGTTAGCCATAAATTTATTGAAAACTATTAAAAATTAAGCTCAAACGTGTTATTTTTTTCTATTATTATTGATATTTAAATAAAACAAAAGGTTAGAAATATAAAACTATAATTAGCTACATGAATTAAAAAAAAATTAACAAATTATCTTCGCATAATAAATCTAATATCTCAACTCTGGCGCATCCTTAGCGCGACATCGAAAATCAGTTCACTGGGCGCCGTGGTCAAGTATAGACGACACACTGATGACGTCATAAGCGATTAGCGGGAAAATTAGTGCAGTGCAACATGAACGATTCCTCAGAACTCATTCGGATTTTGGAAAGCGTCGACGATGATGAATTTTCGGAAATTTAAAATTATCGTGAAACCAAAGTTTTTCGTTTTCGATTAACTCTACCTCAATGAGGTAGGAATACACTTTATAGTCTTTTTACGGTTAATTTCTTTTTTTATAGCATAGGGTAATAAACGAGCACACAGTCCACCTGATGGTAAGTGGTTGCTGTGGCCCATAGACATTTACATCTATCCTCGATTACGAATCAAAATGCAGATGCGCTCTCACCCGTGAGGACTTAGATGGAATGCCTCGTTTCCAGTAAAGAGGGTCTCCGGTTCTCTACACTTACCATACGAAATACAGCAGCATTAAGCTACTATTTGATGCCGATATTCCGTGAGAGCGTGGTTCTTCCCCGGTTGAGCCGACCCATTCGTGCTACAACTACTAACTCCCGTAATATAAATGCAGCATGGCTCTACCACGTTAGAAAATTTGCTTTGGCCAGCTAAACATTTATGTTTTATTATTCCATAAGATTTTTATTATTTTAGGACTAATATTACCTGTAATTTATTAATTATTTTTAATTGTTGTTTTCTATATTAAGTACTGATTGAGTTAAAGACCAAGATTTTAATATTTTATGACTAGACCTAGTGCAAATAATTATTTACAATTGTTGAATAATTATGTACCCTTTGTTGATTTCTGTAATAAGTACTGATTTTTTTATTCCATGACCAAGATTTTAATATTATAAGACTGATTTTTCTAGTGCGAATAATTACCTATATACAGTTGTTGATTAGTGAATAATTACGTACCTTTTCTATTTTAATAATATAAAATTACAAATAATAAATGTGTTTTCTTTACTTAAGGTATGAAGAGCAATTTTCATTTTGTGTTGTGCGATTTTCTTTCTCAATCTCAAAATCATTTAGCAACATCAGTATCATATGAAACCCCCTTTATCATAAGAGCGTAAGACTTTTCTTCTGTGATTCACTTGGCCTACGCCTTGCCATAAAATATTTTGAATAGATGTCTGTATATTTTGGTTATATCGATTTTGAAATCGATACACAACGTGCGACACGGCTACATCTCTAAGAAAGTTTCAAAAAGAAAGGTCAGCTACGCCGTTGTCGTCCAGTCGTGACAGTGACGTCATCACGACGGAGAGTAGTGTTGTGGTTTACTACTATTTTATTGTTATTGTTTGTTTTTTATTTATGTACAAAGTACATATATAAAAAGAGTGGAAGACAGCACAAGATTAAATAAAACATACCCGATTATAAAGACTCATTTATTGTATAAAAAACCAACAAAAACAAGTTATTTTGTGTTATCGATATATCAACTCTTGGCAGCACTGTTTTTTTCGTAGGTATTTTTGTTTACTTTTCGCTTTGGCGTACAGGACACGGTAGTGAGTTTTTGGCGTGGCGCTCAAAAGGTTAAGCGCAAAGCGCGTAGGTATGTTCTACTAGAGCCTAAAAATCAAGAATCCAACGTTTTGTCGCATGGAATCGTATCTAACAATCATATTAAATATAAATCATATTAGATATAAAGAAAATATCAATTGTTCAACTCAATTCATTTTTTAATCTATTCATCTGTAAAGTGGGATGCCATGGAGTGTAAATGGCTGTTTAATTTTATTTTGTTCAGTTGTAATTGACTTTTTTCGGTTCAGAAAGTCTGAAATTTTCAGTGTTTGAATACAGATACACTTTGACTCACTGCGGGCTCGTGAGTGAATTACTGTATCGTTTGTTTACAGCGGCTCGTGAAGAAAAATATCGATCACTTTAGAAATACAAAATATTCCAAAAACTAAGTTTGATACATACTTGACCAAGGTACGTTATTATTATTATTTTTATAATCACAGATTTTCGATGCAATATATAGTTTCGCTAAAAGTACGTAGGATTTAAATATACTTATACGTCTTGGACATCATAAAGTGACCTGGTATACTTTGGTGAATGCTAAATTAAAATACTGGTTGTGACTAGATGAAAAAAATTTTGAAAACGAAATAAAGTTCTCGAAAAAAACTTTATTTTATTTTCCAGCGGCAATTACATTTTTCCGACGTAAAAATAATATTTTGTTTTAATCTAAATAATATAATCCTTTGCATTATATCTTACCATAGCTTTTACAATATTAACTACGATAATTTTTCCTGATTACTTTAGCTTGACAAAAGTCTACACACTTGAACAACAAACTGCATCACAAAGGCTCACCAATTTTCGATTAAATTTTCTTACTTACGATATTTAGGAGTTATGATATCTCATAGGCTAGGCACTCTCCGTAAAATTTTATAGTGGTCAGGTAACCGGTGTTCCAACCTCTCCAGCAATACTAAAATTGTTCAGCAGTGAAATAAAACGCCTCAAGAAATCTGAGAGTCAGAGAAAGTAAAATTATTCGATAAAATATACAGACCCCTAATACGTATATATACGTACGTACGTACGTACGTACGTACGAACAGCAGTTACTTTAATTTTTTACTTTTTAGACCTCTTTATTTTATCGATATCTATTTTATCTAGATCGAAATTACAAAGGTATCCAGATCACCACTCTCCACCTCCGAGCGCTTAAGAAAGAGCTAAAGCGATAAGAATGGTAAGTTGCAATAGCTGTTTCAAAGTTTTATTGCCTGAAGGATTTTTTACAATTCTAAGCCATTGCTGAATTACTATCCCACCTGATGGTATGTGGTGATCCAGCCGAAGATGGTGAAGAGCACTGACTTAGCAAAAACACTTTTCTCACCCTTGCCTTGAAAACATTGTAATCGGATCGATAAACAGATGCTGGTAACTTATTCCACGCATGGTGGATGATGTAGCAAACCGTTTAGTTCGAATGCGTGTTAAGTCGACAGTGAAAGGGTGGAGAATCGCCGAGCGTCTGATGGTCTGATGTGTGATGGTGATTACTCAATTAATTCACACACTAAGAAATGCACCCTATAGAAAACCGAAAGGTTGACTATTCTGCGCTAACTAAAACATACCTGCACTGGTATAGGATGTCGCACAACCGTTTCAGAGGTGAGACGCGGGTTACGCTCGCCAATGTGGAAGGTAATGTCGCTTATAGCGTGATATGCATGAGCAAAGCTGTGCATAATATCTGAAGTCATATCAATCGTCCGCTGATGGTTTTGGCGCTCCTCATCCGTGTAATCTGGAGGCTGAAAACAATACACATATATCAATTGTTGTAAAACTAAAAAAATTAAGTGTTGTAAATGTGGTAAAACCACGCTGCAGCTATATTATACTTGAAGCTCGAATGGGTCAGCTGGATTCATAATGATAATGATAATTTATTACTTTAAAACAAGGGTTAATATTTCCAATATGGACCATCGATTTCAAAGCCCATATTTTTTTTGTAGATAGTACACACTAAAAGAAAGCGTTTTGCAAAGTTTTAGGTTGCGGAAACTTACGGTTCATGAGATATATTTTTAAACTTCATACAAATTGGCAAATAACACGCAATTACACCAGTTACACCTGAGCTCGATGATCTCGGTGCCTGCGCTTCCCTACGCTAGGGCGGAGGCACTGCTCATCCCGCAGCGCCGGAGCTGCCACGGAGCGCCGGAGCACAACTTTCCGACTTCTTACCCCCTAGTCTGATACTTGATACATACTAATACTTTCAATTCTACAACTTTGACATCATCATTTGTATTTTTTTGTAATTGCGTGTTATTTACCAATTTGTATGAAAATTAAAAATATATCTCATACCCAACTACTTCAAAACCTTTCTGTGAGTACTATTTACAAAAAAAATATGGGCTTTGAAATCGATAGTCCATATTGGAAATATTAGCCAAAACGGTTATTAAAAAAAATCGAAAGCTAAACAATTTAAACTTTGGGGAAAAGCACACAGTCCACCGATGGTAAGTGGTTCGTGGGCCAAGACACACCCCCATTGAAAAAAAAAGTGGCCCCCGAAAAAGGAATGCCAAAAAGGGGCCGTCCCACAAACAACCTTCTGGGGGGCGCCCCCCGGCGGCCCCCCCCCTATATAAACCCCCCCCAAGTAAGGTATAATTACTGATATTTGCGTGATAGTGTGAAAAATGTGTGTGTGCATGGATGAGAGTGAGAAGTCTGTATGAGTGTAAAAATTCATAAGGCAGTGTTTTCGAGAAGAAATTCGATTTCTTCATAGGAAAGTTTTCTTAACCAGTCTGTTACGGTTTTTTTACAGTCATGGTAATTCATAGAGTAAATATTGATTTTTTTTGGTTTATTTTATTATATAAGTAAAATGAACGTCTAGTATACTGTCTTGATGCAAACTTAAGCTTAAATGAATCTTCGTAGGGTATTTTATATTTTCTACGTCTGGTGATTGAAGACATATACATATGGTAATTTATGGAACTATGAAGATTTAAAACTGTTGCTAAAATGTAAAGTTTTCTTACCGAAAGTAAATTACTCCATTCATAAAGTTGAGTTGTAGAGAATCTATAGGGCTTTAAGTACATAACTTTAATTAAGGATCTTTGAGCCCTTTCAAGCTCAAGGAACCTAGTTTTTGCTGCACCACCCCATATAGGAATACAGTAGCCCAAAGTTTACTGAGCCAGAGCTATGTATATTTTATTAAGTAGACTTCGTGGAGACATGTCGTAGATACTTAAATATCCAAATAAGTTTTCTGAGCCGAGTTTCCATTAATTCTAGATGTGAATACCAAGATAGTCGTTGGTCAACCATGACTCCAAGGTACTTTATATTTGAGACTGTATTTATTTGGAAGCATTTACAACTAGAGCTTTGGACGTCAGAGCAATCGTGAATTTTAATATGAAAATCAGGTGTAGGTTGGGTGATGTTATACATAGTAAAGCAGATATATTTAGTTTTGGATATATTCAAGGTTAGTAGATTCTGATGGAGCCAATTAGCAAACCTAGCAAGGCCTAATTCTGCTGCTTTCCTTATGGAATCCCATGTGTTTCCTGTAAATACAATGGCAGTGTCATCTGCATATAAAAAATCTGCCCATTATAAAGTTTCATATTACATAGTTCATTAATGTATATCAAAAATAGAGTTGGACCCATCACACTTCCTTGTGTACTCCATAGTTAACAGTTACAGTTTCACTTACGGTTGTTCCAATTTTTACCGACTGTTTTCTGTTTCTAAGATAGCTGCCAAAAAGAGATAGTTTTATCTCTTAAGCCAATGCTTTCTAGTCTTTTTAACATTATGGGTACGGAGACTGTGTCAAAAGCTTTCTTTAAATACAAAAATACTGTTTTACATTTTTTTATCACAGGATTATCACAGGATATCAGCAAAGAAATAGCAGCTTAATGCTGCTGTGTTTCGTATGGTGATTGTAGTGAGACATTCCATCTTAGTACTCAAGGGTGACAACGCATCTGCATTTTGATTCTTATCTGAGGATATGTGCAGATGTGTACGGGCCACAGTATACAGGTGGACTGTGTGCTTGTTTACCACACTTATCCTATAAAAAGAAGAATATTACATCGCTCCTCTAACAGGAGATTACATCTCAAATCTAATTGTCATTTGTTTCATTTCATTAATTTTATTTTACATGATAATTCCTTTTATCGAGACACGTCTTTACATGAACTACATATCATATAATTTAAGAGGATACTTACATCGGCTCGATTGACTGCATGCAGCATGTTGATGAATGTAACTCTGTGCGGAGTGAACTGCATGTGTAACAGTTCCAACTCCTCGATCAAGACGCCAAGATCGCGGGGGCGCGATTGGCGGGCCCGGAGTGCTCTCATTGCCCTGTGTATAAAAATTTAATCTTGTATTTATACTTACCAAATATTCAAAAGTCAACTTATAGAAAAATATGCATTGTGTCTTACATACTTTTCTATTCCGTTTATTCATTTCTTTTTTAATTTCATTTTAGTAATTGCTTCTTATATAATATTTATTTTGTATTATTATTTTGTATATATGTGTACTGGTTTAAGTATTCGTGTACATTATTTACTTAACATTATACAATAATTAATACTGTTACATTTATATTTTGTTAAATCTTCAGTGGCACCCACGGAATTTTTTTTACGTGGTAGAGCCATGCTGCAGCTATATTAATTACATAGTTGTATCACGAATGGGTCGGCTCGACCAGGGAGGGACCACGCTCTCACAGAATACCAGCGTCAAATAGCAGCTTGGTGTTGCTGTGTTTCGTATGGTGAGCGTAGAGAACCGGGTTTTTACTGGAAAAGAGGCATTCCATCTTCATCTTCCAGGCTGACAACGCGTCTTCATTTTTATTCGCAAACGAGGATAGATGTAGATATCTATGGGCCACAGCAACAAAATATTAAGACTATATTAAGACTCAATATTAAGACTATGCTGAGTTGAGTATCTTTTTAGTTTCCAATTACCAAATTTAATATATGTTAATGTTGTAAATAAATTCTTATATTATGTAACTAAATAAACTCATTTTCTTTTTGTCTATAGAGAAATTAATATACACGTCTCTATTCACAAGTTACAATGTTAAAAAAAAACTAAATCCAACTACCTAACAAGATGTCAATGGGCCACAGCATCCACTTACCATCAGGTAGACTGTGTGCCCATTTGTCGCCATTATTCCATAAAGGAATTTTGGGAAATAAAACCAGTAGAAGACGAAGTCCACCAACATGTCCGATGTCATTGAGGCAGCGCGACGGACATTTTCTAGCCCTAAAATCCACTCAATTATTAGGGAACCACTTACCACTTGAGCCAAGGTGTGGGCTAAATATAGGCTGTAACTTTTTTATATAAGATGGGGCAAATGAGCATACTACTCATCTGATGGTAAGTGACTACCGCCGCCAATGAACTGCAGCACCAGGGGAATTGCAGATGCGTCATCGGACTTTTAAAAAAGAGCTCTTTTCTCGAAGGTTCCAAAGTCGTATCTTATTAAACATAGGCCTTTCCCAAGGAATACAGCATAACACGATCCTTAGCCATCTGCATCCATCGATATTTTAAAAGAGTTTTAATTATAACTTTAATTTTGGTATTTTAAAAGGAACCTTCATTGAGTTAGAAAAATATATAGAAACCTGCGTCGAGCGTGTTGTGATCTTTGTTCAAGCCCCTCGGGAATTTCATCACCATTTTCATCCAACTGTGGATCGTCCTATAATAAACATAATATATTATTATTACTACACAAATTTATACAAAACATAATAATAGTTAAACTTTTTTAGTTTTTATGTACAATTTTTATTAAAGTTAGCGACAAGAACTAAACATTCTAGGTATTATTAATACATTAAGGTATTAAGGTTCTAGGTATTATTAATGCTTAATTAACTTCCAAAATTGATAATCACTTAGAAAAATTATAGAATAAGATATAAGTAAAGTCGAATAAAATCAGTAAATTTTCTCAATAAGTACTACTGATGTTGACATTGCACTTATCAAAATTGTGCGTTAGATGATAAGTTTGCGTTCTTCTGACCTATCGATGGCGTACAATTGCGCTAATAATAATACTATAGTAAATCAATTAATGTATTACAAAAAAAAATAAGTTTATTAAATTTCTCCCACGCGTTATAATAACGATGCTTTTGCCTTCTATAGTAAAACATTTAAAGTATGGACTGTAATTTAAACTATTAATTTCTACACATAGTACGAGTCTGACACTAAAATTTCAATGTCGATGTTTAATCAAGCCAAAAAAAAATATGAAATTTAAATTATCATACGTAATTTACAGCATACAGCATATGTATATATAATTTACAGCATAAGATCTTATAAGCTCGAAATTACTAATAAACCACTTTTGTAATAAGTCTGTTTATGTTTATAATTAAAGATAAATACTATCTCTAACAATAACACCATGCCTTAAAAAATCAGAACCAGTAAAACATGTAAACATGAAGATTTAACGCTTACAAAACTTTACTTATGATCTGTAATATATTTAAAAAAAAAAACAATGAACTGACGTAACGCTCATGCATAAGAATCGGATAGTTTTACTCTTAACCAAGGTAAGCGTGGACATTGTCAGTCGCTCTATCTTCCGCCGTAGAAACGGAACACTGAATCAGAACACTAGAAATGATACATCGAAATATACGTTACCTCTTCCTGATGCGCGCCATTGGCGTTCTCATGGTCCACTGATTCAGATTGCGCGTGTCCGCTAGATGGCGCGCCAAAATTCTCCTATGGTTTCATATCAATATAAAGCTATGTCATAACAGTACTACTATCGATTTGCAGATATTTTCCGTGTTGATAAAGTATTAAGTATACATAAATAAAAATAAAAATAATAGATATATTTATTTTCGTTAGAAAATATTTTCGCACTAACAACCTATTATGTAGGGGCTGTCATGGAGGATGACACTGAGAATCAGTAAGCATCGGGTTTGGATTTTAAGTTTTTTTGAAGTGAAAAGTTCTATGGGATTGCTGTGATTTGAAAACAATAAGATAGAATCATTCATCACCGTCTATACCACTAAAATGGTTTATTTCAACTTTAATTTCTGATTTACCACATCATGCGCGGCGGTCAAGAACACATCGTGAGGAAACCCACAAGTCTAAGGAATGAAATACATATTTATTTTACTTTTTTGTGTAACATGTATTATTACAGGCGCATCTGCCACTGAAATAACATCATTATTTTATTACGTTTTCAATAACCATTCCTTTTTATATATTGACGATAATACAGTTCGTCGATTTCAACTGCGCCAGCAATTTTAAGTTAAAGATACGTGGTAGAGCCACGTTGTATCAATAATAAGATTGTGGCACGTATAGGTCGACTCGACCAGTCAAGGACCACGCTCTCACAAAATACCAGCGTCAAATAACTATCACTTAAGCTACCAACATACAATTTTTATTAAATTGAAGGTGATCTGGGACTTAAAGCAAACTTGTAAAAACTGTTCATTTTGTATCGACTTACAAGTTTTTAAAAATCACACTGCATGGTACATACTTATATTGCTAGTGAGATTTATAAACAATATTTTATACCTGTATTATGATACTTATCGACATATTAAGAAATATCTGCAAATCGTCATAGAAAACTGCGATATAAATTACAATATAGGATCGAAAACATGCATACATATAGGCTAGACTTCATAAGCGTGTAGTCATGCATATATATTTATTTAGAACTAAATACCACACGCAATACCAATTATATTTGACAAATGTCAACTATATTTGACACGAGTGTCTGAAAACACATCATCATCATAATTACAGACCTTCACAAGTTCACTTCTGACCATTGGCTCCCGAAAGACACTAAACACGATCTAGTATACACTTACTAATATATAAATTGCATAACCCAAGTTTTTATTCTCTTATTTTTGTAACTTCAGTCAAAAATACTTTTCATCCCTTCTTTAGTTTTCTCTGTTACCGTTTTTACGCCAATTTTGCTCGCATGCCACGCGAATACAAAGCTGTGACGACTAATTGCAAATTATTTTTACTTTAGTGCCTCTTGTCCAATAGTAGACTGTTTGCAGGCTAATGGAAAAGCATTATTAAAACAATAGATAGCTGAAAATATTTTAAAATACAATCAAATGATTCTCCTTATTTCACAAAATCGTAAAGGCTAAAGTTATTGTGACTTATTGTACTAAACAAATCTCATACCAACATTGCCATTCTGCCAAAAAAAATCAATAACATATAAAGCCGAAATTACACACTATTGTTACTAATACATTAATCTTACAAATTTTCTGGTAGAAAAATGCTTGAACAAATCGTCATCGCAGTATCACGACTATGTAAAGGTTTAGACAACATAAAGAGATCGACTGACAGAACACTGAATGAAGAAACGTAAAAAAATGTTCTTATACCACTTCCTCGATGTGAGCGCGGAGTTGGGCGATTGATGTCCTGATGTCCGCGATCAGACGTCGGATGAACTCCAGGCGGCTAGTAGTCGGTGACAGATTCATAGACTGCTGCTCATCGCCCAATATTCGAGATGGGGGGGTGAGTGCCTATGATATAGTACATGTTACAAAGGATAATATCTGTTACAGGGTGTTATCGCCCTAATAAGCAATGATATTTAATATTTTAATATTACCATATTTAATTTGGTTTCAAAAATTGTTACATCAACCTAGAACAGGGGTGGCTTTATGTATCAACGTTTCATTTTTCTAAATAAATGTTTTATGAGGTCATAGACGTGCCGTTAAATAATTTTAACTTCGTGATTAATGGGAAAATAATACTAGTACTTAATACTATCTACTCAAAACTCTTTATTTACTACAAAAATAAAAAAAAGTTTTGAGTTGGGACATTTATTGTTATACATTGCAAAATACATTTTTCACACAGAATGTAACGAATTATATTATAGTCCCTGTCAATACTTGTCCCGTGCTGAATTCTATGGACTGCGAGCTGTCGTCGTATGTCATGTGATAAATTGCAAGAGGACAATCTTCGAGACTTGGTGCAATTCTTTGTAGACCGCGAAAATACTGGTTCCGTTATCTACACGACATCTGCTAACAGAAGTCATATTTATCTCATTTCGTAGTCTTTGAAATCCATAGTTGAATATTGAGATCTTTCCGTACTTATCACACTATAAAGATTTTTTTTTTATAGAACAGAGTGACAAACGCATATAGTCCACCTGATGGTAAGTGATTGCTGTGGCCCATTGATATCTACATTTATCCTTGATTTCGAATCAAAATGCAGACGCGTTGTCACCCGTGAGGACTAAGATGGAAGGCCTCGTTTCCAGTAAAAAGGGTCTCCGGTTTTCTACACTCACCATACGAAACACAGCAGCATTAAGCTGCTATTTGACCAATTCTTGCTACAACTATACCACTAATATAACTGCAGCATGGCTCTACCACGTAAAATAAGATTTGCTTTGGGCACAACCAATGTTCTCTTACTGGTAATGCAGTCCTTATCCACTACTAGCCTACACGTTTGTGTTAGGCTAGTCTTACCATTTTTTTTATATCAAAGCGCCTAAGGAACTAATAGTTCTCTTTAGTGGCTTATGCATACAAATCCATGGACACCTGCATCATTCTAATTAAAAAATATAAAATGAGAAATGCTTCACATTCTATAATCACACTGGTTCTCCATACTGTCTTGATACAATAGTAGAGCATTTCTGCCACTATTTTTATAAGTATAATGTGCTGCTACTTATGGCATTGTTGGTAATACGGTGATTGGTACCCGAACGGACAAAAAACGAGTCTTACCCCACTTGTGCCCGGTTTCTACATTAGGAAAACATTTTGTTTCCGCTTACGACCCCTTCGTGGTTAGCATAAAACCCTGCTCAAGATTACCCAAGATACCGGTCTAGCGGTTGACGAACTGCTTGAAGTTGTTATCTTTCAAGTCTTATAAAAGAGCAAAATGAATAATTTCAATAAAAAATATTTTCATATGAACTTTGTATGTAAGAAAACTGATTATAGCGTAGACCGAAATGTTTTGTGCATGTCCCATGAGCAAATCTTTACCACTCTTCGTTAAAGTTAATTAGCGGCTTTATGGAGGAACCACGGTCGCACCACGGTCCACCATTGGAATAAAAACAATGGTTGGAAATTCTTATAATCTGTTAATGGATAAATGTGATAATTATAGATGTTTTTGTAAGGTTTTGAAATATATAATAAAATAGAGCAACAAACTATTGTTTGGTTATATTACCAAAATAATATTTAAGCCAAATTCTTCTAAACTTTAATGCGTTGCATTTACTATTCACAACTACTCATTAATTTTTTGAAATCGATTAGAAGTAGAGTAGTAATCGACTTATCAGTCCAAAAACGACTAAATTATTCCTATTTGTGATCGCCTTTATACTTGTAACCATCAAGAAAAATCAATCGAAATATGCCCATGCCAGTGCAAATTATGGAGGGTGTTATTGTTGAATCGACACCCAAGGAGATTAGAGATATTTGTGACACATGATATGCTATATTTGAAAAGCCAGCTGTGTTACATTGGGATATTTCTAACAATTTGCAACATAATATTTATTTTATTTTAAACGTTGCAGTTTATTCTCTGTTTACCCACCATTAGTCTTCTGATTTGCTGTTGGGTTCCGTTAGAATGTTCGTTGCCGGTGGTAGCGGTAGTAGTAGACGAAGTCGCGTTTCGCCTGGACTCTACTAGGCCCGGTGGGGGGCGTTGCACCAAATGAACCACCTTCCCCTTGACGTCTAAAAGCACACATATGAACATTATAACTACAAATAATTACGGTATTATTATAATTGAACCACACCATTCCAAATTATACTACCAATTTTGAAAAGATTGTAGTAGTTTGCAAATATGTGTAAATATGTGAGTGATAGCTGTGTAATGGCGGCGTAAGATAACCCATTACCCGTCCCATGGTTGTCGTAAGAGGCAACGGATGGGAACTGAAACAGGAGATAGGTAGCAGTACTTTCCTGATAACAACTCGAAGTTACAATATGATAATAGCTGAGGCTACCGACTGGCCTTCCAGACATAGCAACTAAGGCAAATATTCAACCTGAGAAGCAACCTAAACTAAATCTAATCCTGTTGACTACGTTCAGCAGCGAACTTTTGAAACGTTGTAACTGTAACTTCGAAGTAAATAAATTTTATTTCATTTTATTTAAAATTGTATACATTCAGTCAAAAAAGTATCGGGAATGGATAATTTTTAAAAATTTGGGCCATTCGCCATAGTCGCCACGCTTGGCCAGCGGGTTGGTAACCGTAGTTTATTTTTTATTTTAGTCTTTATTAGGAAAATGCCGCTGCCCATCTTCTGATTTGTTTAACAAAGTACAAAGATTTCCCTTCACGTTTTAATATACTGGATGACCTTTTTACTGTCTAGAAAAAATAGGGTGTAACTAGTGAACGGAGTAGAAGCCTACGGCACTGAAATTTCACAAATAATAAAAACAAAAATTTTAAATTAAATAAATAAATAAATGTATCGGGAATAATAAATGATCGCGTCTTATTTCTGTAGACGCCTTTCTTATAGATTAACATAAAAAGGTGACAAGGCTTTTCTTTTATACATTTTATATTATAAAAATAAGGATAAAATAGGTAATAATAGGTTCTCAATAAATATTCCTCGAAACCAGTTAACTAGAGCATACAGCCAGTGCGGGTTTGATGACATATGGAACTGAGACGTGCTTTTTCACTTATGAGGAAGCTTAAGGTCAGTCAGCGAGCTATGGAAAGGGCAAAGATTAACTCGAAGTTTCCCCGCGTGATAAGACTATGTATGAAGATAGCAGTTAGCATTAGAACCAGGACAAAGATTGAATGCCTGATGCCATAAAGGTCAAAAGAAAATCAGCGATCAAATAAAGCGTTTAATCAGGTAGTACAGTAGCTCTACTAAATCACCTAAATGCCTACAGTGACTAGTCTCCCCTTTCGCGAGAGGGAGATTCCCAGCTCAGAGTACTTACCATATTCAGCCAACTTCTTCTCATCTTGGAGTACTCGTCCGCAAAATATTAAGCGTTGTAACTCTATGTCTATACCCATCCGCTCTCTCACTTTCTCCTTAAGTTGATGTACAGTGGTCTGAAAAGGATACAGTAAGCATCACGTAAGTTCCAATAACAAGTGTACTAAACTTAAAGTGGGTTGATGTTCATTCAAAATATACTTTAATTATTCCTCACACAGGATTACACAAACTGGGGTCTGCATTCTTAAGAATAACGAAATTTAGTCCGTCTTAAGTTTAGGCGTAGAGAAGCCATCGCGTACGGTCTTTATTCTTAATAAAAGTTACCACAAAACTAAGATTTTTCCCTGCATCGTGGAGGCAGTTTACATACGTAAATTGCACCAGGACATACATTTCCGGACGATTATTTGTAAGTCATACAAATGCTATGCGTCTTAATTCACTGCCAAGCCACTGCGTCACGGAGCCTTCAATCGAGGCGTAAAACCTTATTCTTTTTATCAAAGTAGGTAAAATTTACTTTGCCTACATCCGGTCCGCTAAGATTAGCGGTCAGCCACCGCAGTCTACTTCACCTGAGGATGCCTCGTGTAGAGGCGAAACACATGTTATTATTAACGGTGTGCCTTTCTTCACGTAGTGGTGAGTTGTGGTTGAGAGTAGTGGCACTGAGATTAGTGGTGACGGGGATAGTGCACGCAATTGAGGGAGGGCGGGAGGTACTCTTTAAACTAGGTAAGACACATCGTTTTATTTCATTGAGCGAATGTAGACAAAAGTAATTTTTACCAACTTTAATAGGTATACGTGTATAATAGATTCCCGAAAAATAACGCCTGATTCTACGATCTTACTTTTTTTTACTTATCATAAGCCAGTGCGTGACTACAATCCAACCTGGTGGTAAACGGTGATGAAGTCCTAGATTATCAATCACATTATCTTAGCGTAACAAAAGCCTATACAACTTTTTTATATTTTAAATCATTTTAAAAAGTATTCATAAACTCTTCTGTATAGACTGCATTATTACACACACACACAAACAGGCGATAATAAATCTTAGTTATTTCAAATTTAAAAAACATTTTAGGGCTTAAAGTATAATTATTTTAAAATCGAATGAATCTTCATCATGGTATACCTAACATTATAAGTAAATTGATTATTTCTATGAATTTCGAACCAATGTGAGTCATATCTTTATATATAATCCTTAGCGGTGATTGTGTAACTTTTGAACAACTTGACCGAATGAGGTGATATCCATAAATATTTGTTATGTTGGGACGTTGGTGCATAACTATGTATCCGATGGATGACGGTGTAGTCTAGTAAGTAAAAATTCTATACATTACTCATATCTACAATTGTTGCTTTAGTGCCATGAAAAAGCACAAATCTGTGCCCCATGCACTACAATCTATCCATAACCGCCTTTAAAAGTTCACTACACACACAGGGATTTCGCCATAGTTGTCACGTTTCGTAGTCGGGTTGACAAGCGCGGTTGTTTCTTCCTCATCTCCTGTTTCAGTTTCTCTCTGGCGCCTCTTAAAATACCCACAGGACGATGTGAGTCAACTAGAACTAGAAGAGTAAGGTACTTTACTCTTCTAGTTCTAATTGACCAGATGTTACTGTTACTATATAAAGTACTCGGCGTATCAATAGTTTCGTATGGATTAAGCAGTTATGGACGCACATATACAATCCACCTTGAAAATACATAATATATGAGCTACAATTGCGCTACAATTAAACCGTGGTAGCTCAGATGAGCCGTGGTAGCTCAGATGGTTAGCGCTCGCTGTAAATTTCACAGTACGCGAGCAAACCGGGTTCGATCCCCGCCGCCACCAATGAAATTGTTAATTGCAATTTATGTGCCGATTTACCACGTGCTTGGCGGTGAAGGGAAACATCGTGAGGAAACGCGCATGTTAAAAAATAAGAAAAAAAATATTTCGAAGACATATGAAGTTTGCCAACACGCATTGTGGTAACGCGGCGGACAATTCCTTGCCTCTCTCAGAAATGAGCGGAGGCCTGTGCCCAGCAGTAGGACGTATATATGATGTAACTTTACTTTTACTTTTTACAATTGCGCATCCTTAAATGTATCACCCCTGTCAAAATCAAAGATAAATATAAAAAAAAATCCTTATAGTCTGTTTCATCATTGCAAAATAATACCAGTACACGACAAAGTGAAATACCAACTACTGCTTGAAAACTATAGCAAGGAAGAATAAAAATTAGCCGTATCTATACAAAGCTTACTCGACAAGCCCTTAATCCATATATGACTATACCAAAATATAAAAATATGAGTGGAAAATTTAGGTTACAATATCAAGTTCCCGCTCTTTTGAACCAAATTCCAAAACCAATAAAAAATATGAAATATAAGCTTAAACAATATTTTATAGACATATTGTTAACGACACCTACTAACAATTTATACTAAAAATAAAACTATACCTACTAACACACAACATACACTAATACAAATCTACTAATAAATATATACATAGATACACACAATCGTAACATTATTATCTCACTTGATAATTTTATTTATCATACTCAATAACTATGCTTTGCTTTGTTATACATCTTGTAAAAAAAATTGCTATTTGTCACACCAAGTAGTCATGTACGTCATTAAATAAGTTGTCGCCACGCGAACCGATTAAATAGATGGTCGAAGTTACGAATCGACGGTACATGGAAAAACTTTTGTAAGTTTATTTGTACTGTCGGATGTTATTTAATAACTATATTTTGTAAAAATAAATAAATATAAATAAAATAAAAATAGAATAACGTCTGGCGATAAAGTTAATAGCAAAATATAATGACCCCCCCCCCCCACAAGTGCTTCTTCACATAAATTATAGTTATTCCCATTCATAGGTTATCCGCTTTTCGAGATAGCTTAAAATATAACGCGACGAAATGATGAAATAATCTGCCACATCTTATTCGAAACCTTCATACAATTTCAAATTAAATAAAAATCTTATCTTTTCAATGTCCATAAGTAAAATTAACTGTATTATAGTGGGACAAGCCATCGGAACGCACTTAAAACCGATAGTCCTGCACTTGAACATCTCTGATCAGTCCGAATTGGCATCCCATAGGACTATGGAGTATTTAACTAAAGCTAGCCAACTAAAGCTGTTCTGAACAGCATTAGTTGGCTAACTTTAGTTAGCTTAGCTTTAGAATAGAGATGCCGCGAAAACTCGCTATTATTCGGTATTCGGCATTACTCGGCATTTTTGTTGCTCGTCGAATAGTTGCCTAAATAAAATAAACTTATTTTAAACGCACAGAAAAACTATAGACAGACAAAATAATTTCTTGTATTTATCTTTTAAACAAAAGACACTTAGTATCAATATATAATCGTCATTAAAAATATAATAGTTAGCAAAAATCAGTCATGTTGAAGTTAATAAGCCTTTTTAATTAATATTCAATGTTTAAAAGAGGTAGATTGTGGTGCAGAAAAACTAATTTTTCTACACGACTGGGATCGAGTCAGTTGCGCTTTTTTCGTAAACTAAACCTGCTGCAGAAAATAGCATTTCTGAATAAACGGAGCTTGCTGTGTGTTTACTATAGTTTGTGTGACTTACTATAGTTTAGCAAGCTTACTTAAAATTAGGAATCGATTCTTATTGGTACTCAAAGATCACCATACATATGGGTTTGTACTTCTGTCAGCCTTTGCTAACCTGATGTAGTTGGCAATTTCATCAGCAATGGTATTATTGAGTTGCTCTTCATTAGGCTGCTCTGTTCTCGTAGATTTAGATTCTACGAAACATACCCAAAATAGTTCATGAGTTTCTGAAACGACATCCCCTTTTCATTGTCTAAACGAGATCTTTTGGACGCTATTTCTTACACATAATGAAGTTATTCCCCGTAAAATATGTTACGTACAACAAAAGGGTTGCCATGATAATAGTCGTAATCTTAGATTTTTTTAAGATTACAGTAACATATAAATAATTGGTAATTTCAAGAGACTACCAGTGTCTATAATCATACCATTTATTTAATTACAAATAAATTATTTTATATATTCCTTTTTATGTCGAATAATAACAACGAGTATTCGACTATTCGCCATGAAGGAATGGCGGGTAATCGGTATTCGACTATTCGCCATAACAACTATCCGCGGCATCTCTTTAGAGATTAGAGACTAGTCGCCGTAACGTCGTTTGTAGTTTGTTTTGTATGAAGCTTGCAAGTATTCGCAGCTTATTGTAGCTGTGTCAATATGTTTTCTTTTTATACATTATTTGTGAGTGAAATTTGTTTGCCAGTGGTCATAATAACGGAGGCGCAACTGCAGCCGTTTTAATTTTTTTTTTTTAAATAGACATAGCAACATGGCAGTATGAAAGTAAATTGTATTGTACAACCCAAATATTTGCAACAGTACCATTATCCAAGGAGAAAGCAGAAGTTTGTTTGGACTAAACGCCGCGAAATCCTAGTCGTTCAAAAAGGGCTACAGATTTGTACTAATCTAGAAGAAATTCAAGGGCAAAGTACAATAGAATAAAGCATCACGTAATCGTAATTATGGTTACTAAAGGAACGTAGCAATCGATGAATTAGATATACCTAGGTATGTGATCTGAGTACAACGATGAGAGCTCGTTGAAATGTACGGAGTATTGATTATCGCTACATAGCACGAAACTCCTATAACCTTTTAACATCGAGGCAGAGCTTTGCGGAAGAGAGGAATAGAAAGCTACGCTAGATAGTAATATATAGTAATCAAATGCTAGTTTGTTAATTGAGAAGGTTTCAAAAATAAAATATTCAAAATTGTTACAATAGGTGTATAATACTATTTTTACATGGGTAGTTTTAAGGTTCTTATATTTTGTTTACCCGTAAGATATAGAAAAGAATATATGTGAAAATACGTTTTAGATACCATTTTTAGACGATACGTTATAATTTATACAGGTTAATTCTATGGGCATAATTAGATGCACCCATCATAAGTCACATTTAATTTGGATTTGTTTTTTATTCATTTGGTTAAGGTTTTTCTGTGAATACACCCTTT